ATTGATACTTATTTTTTTTCTGTGCAGTAAAATATTAATCTTCAACTCGACCGAGGAAAATCCGTCATAAAAATTTGTCAGACGTGGAGATGTATCGCGCGACACTCCATACAAACCTTACTTTTTCGTCACCAATAAAATCAAACCCTTCGTTGGTTTTTTTTTTCTATAGAGACACGAGAGGGTTAACAACCTAGCGGGAACGAGGAGAACGAGCGGAGAACGGCGGAGAAAATAAGCGGACATCGAGGGAGGAAGATCGAGCAACAAGATCTCACGAGGTATCTCGATAAATCCCCTTCGCTGGACAAATAACGACAAGGCTCATTACTATAAACACGTCTCGCGCGCGGTCTCTGCGTGTGGCGCGTCGTGTTGCCGCGTTCTCTCTCCCCACGGCCATTTATTTTTATATCCGCGCGTGTGTCTACCTTGTGCGTTCGTTATTATATTATCCGGCGCGTCCCAATCGCGCACCGAGTCGCGCGCTCGACATTTTTGCCGGCGAGGACGAAGGACGAAGGCAACGAGAGCGACGTTTCTTTTCGCCTCGTCGCCAAAAGCGTCGCATGATCGGATCGAAAAATTGCACTATACAGGATTTGCTCTGTTGTTTTTTTTCTGGTTTGCGGTTATCTCGAAATGCGAGATAAATAGTTGATTCTGTGTATGTCACTGTTTTCACATTCGTCGCATTGCATTATATTCCTATGTCGCAGTGTTTGCGATTGAAACTTAGCTTCGATGAATATTAAAATTATCGCAGACAATATAATATTTGTTTCGCAATAAGATAATTTTAATAATATATAATTATATTTTTAATTATTATATAATTATATATATAATTATATATATAATTATATAATAATTATATATATAATTATATATTTTTTTCATTAATATAATTGAGTAGAGAGAGAATATATATAATTTCCACGTTTTTAATACTATGCATCTTATGGTTGAATAAAAAAAATGCGACGTCATTATTCAACCATTTTATATGCGGTGGATACGTAGAATGAGCTGAAACCTTGGCATCACCGACATCGATACAATGTGCCTGCGGCCCAATCGATACGTCAATTAATTTCCGAAAGGAGACTGCTCTTGACTAATTTAAATGACGAGCCATGTGAGGCCGACCGTGTAACAACGCACCTGGTGATTTCCTTTTTCTCAAACCCATATTTTTACCTATTATTATTCACGTTACGACGCAACAAGAATGTGCAACCAAGTGTAAATTCTGAGTCTTTACATACGTACATTATAACATGTATTTAATTATTTAAATATAATATAGATATCTATTTATATAAATTTATACGTTTGAATATTTATATAACATGTGTATGTATAAACATACCTCACAAATATTAAATGTGAGTAAAAATTTCGTAAAAATCTATTAATACGTATATAAATATCAGCTTCAACAGAAAATATAAAAATATCAATTTCGCAATTGCGAATGCAAATACGTACGTGAAAAATTTATATTATATTTAAAAATATATTATGTCTCTCTATTTCACATAAAATACATAATAAATGTAATTTTTTCATCTTTTGCATTTAAAGTTATTTAATCCAACTTAAACTGTAAAATTCATTCCAAGATTTTCATTACGTTTCGACCCGACAACACAAGCGCCAAGCTTTTGCTTGGCAAAAAAAATAAAAATAAAAATAAAAAAAAAACGAATGACATAAGCACGAGGCGTAAAACAGATGTGCGAATGTTCCACCACCTGCGCCGATTTTGCGGCAATACAAAGCTGTTTGTTATCTCGGATCTGTATTCTCTTGGATTTTAATTACAGTGTTTGCACCTAGTAAACAATTATTCTCAGTCTCGTATGTGTATTGTACGTGCGAATCCTCTTTCTACAGCGCCTTAATTCTTCCCTCGCGTTTTTCGCGCCCCGACGATACGTGCCCCTCAGATGGAGAAAGTGCCCGCTCGAACGAGAGGGGCCTGAGCGTCTCATGTAATTTTCATCGAGTGGGTGGATACCCATTATTCCGCATTACAGGGTCCTTACGAGAGGTAAGATCGTGCCGGTCGTGCGGATCGAGCGGAACGATCGAGGCGCGCATTAAAGACGCGAGAATTCGCGCGATTTACGTACAAATTTCGCGACACACGACAATCGATATAATATGCTTTGCAATTTTTTTTTCTCCGCAATAACGTTCGTCGAAAAACTTTGACGAGATGATTTATTTATAAATTAAAACCACTACGTTTTTTAAAACGCACGTGCAAAAAGTGTGTGTACGAGAAATAAGTTTACAACTTTTTCTCTTTTGTAAAGCAAATTTTAAGTGAGATTTCGTATTCATCAAAAAACTTTGACGAGATGATTAATTTATAAAACAATTGCATTTTTAAACGAAATAATTTCTCCTCTCTTTAAAATAGATGAGATTTCATATTCGAATATACTTGAGTAATTTACAAAAGAAAAAAAGTTGTTGAAATAAGTTCAAAAACTTATTTAAAAATCTATAAATATTGAAATTTAAATTTGCACGCGCTCTTATATATTCTTGGCGAATCTTTAAATAGTAGTTTATCAATGAAAAATTTACTTGAAATTACATGTCAAAAACAAAATCGATGTAAAGTTTAGATTGAACGTCATATATTTCGACAAATTTATATATCTATCGGTTTCTCTCTGTCTCAAAGAAAAAAGAAACTTGCGAAACTTGTTTACGGCATGAATATTTTCTCGCGGGATGAGGATTTTAACGCCAATAATGCTATATCGCGTCGTTGTAACACCATCTTTTTATTTCTTAATATCGGATCATTAGCGGCGGGCATTAGCGGACGGGGTTTCCGAGAGAGCGAGTTAACGATAACAGATTGTACAACAGGGCGCGATGTTTGCGAGCATTATTGACGCCACTTGTACATCGTTACCGGTGTACGTGACGTATCGGCCGAGTATCAGAGAGGTCCGCACCATCCACCATATCATTATGACGCCTCGCAGGCAGAACTATCGATCCCGATCGATGATATTAATAGTCGCTAACTACAGTCCTCCGAGCCGCCCGTTCTTACAAGTTCTACAGCAAGTTTCAGGCGCTTCTCTTCGACCGTCACTCGCGAGCGTTTGTTTATTACTTTTTTTCTCTTTTGACGCTATTCGACTCGCTGTTTTTTTTTTGTTGCCTTTGTCAAGGATAAACATAAACGTGAGCGCGAAATTGTCCATAAATTTTGTACGTAATATCTTGATTTTGTATTTTCTGATAAATAATTATCGAGCAATTCGTACGTATCTGCGATTTATCAAAGCCGAAATAAAATTGCACTACAATTGATTGTAAATTTAGAGAGACAATAGATTCTTAAGATGTAATCGAGTATCTTTTCACGAACAAGTTTCGAACTTTTACATTTAGCGACGCTGTTTTTTGTTGTCAAGGATAAACATACACATGCGCGTGAAATTGTTAAACGATAAAAAAATTTTCGACGTAATATTTTGATTTCGATAAAATATTTTCGTCGTAATTTCCTGATTTCGTATTATTTGATATTGTTTAATAAATAATTATTAAACACAATTTTTTTACTTATCTGCGATTTATCAAAACCGGAGTAAAAATTGCTCGATTGAACTTATAGAAATAATAGGTTTTTAAAATGTTGTAAATCGATCGTGTTTTGAAACTTTGACAAGTTCCTTTCGAATTTTTATATTTTAACGAGCTCGAAATTTTTCTCCTATTTTCAACATCAATTTTCTCGTGTTTATAAATTCTAACGAATTTCGATAAATTTATATAGAAATTAAACTTTTACTCTTTACGTTCTACTCAAATAGATAATAAACAAAGTTGTTCGTTTGAAAATTTCAAAAAAAAATTTTCGACGTAAATATAGTTTAAATAACCTTAAAGACGGTAATATTTGAATATATGTGTGTGCTGATGTGTATACTTAAAGTATCAAAGTATATATTGACATTAGATTGACATTGAGATCGAAGTAGGGGAAAAATTCCAAGTCGACTATTTACACATCCAAGTCGACTTAGTACACATATATATTGTGTATAATATATGCTATTGTTAAAAAATTACTCACATTTGTAGGTGAATCATGTCGCAGATTCTGTAATCTTGATACAACCTCCAATCTCGCATAGTTCCCTCTCGTAGGCACCTGCAATGATTTATAATATTACTCTCCAAATATAAATAAATATCGGATTTTCTCATTCAATATTACACGTAATAATACATCCGCCATATTCTTTCTTCATGGAATCGAGTATAAAATGATGTTTGATTCCAGAATTGCGGACAATTGCGCGAGAATCTTTGAGAAAAAAAGAAACAAGGACAACAATTACCGTGTTTGCGATCCATCGTGTTTACATCGTTCCATTGTGATCACAATCTCGGCGAAATAACACAATGACGCGGAATTAACGGAATTCGCGTGCGTAATTTAACAAACCGACGACGATTTCAGACGATCCGAAGTTGCGCGCGACCAACTTGTCCCGCCGAAATCGTAAAAGCGCACGTTACACGCGTTCTAGGGAATTTGCGAGCTGATTCTGCGAGAGGCGCTTCCGGTGCGTGCCGCTACGTCGGGCGCCATCTTGAAACTTGAGTCGCGTCGCAGCCGCGAAGAGGGCGCGCGGTGTCCGATCTGCGCATGATCCGCGCGCAAGCCTCCGGGAAGATAATAAACAAAAGGAACGATGGGGGATCGTCTCCCGTGAATCTGTCCGATAATGTGTCTCGTCGGGTTCGTGGTTGTTTGAGCTTTTACTTGAAACGAAAGACCACCACCACGGGGGTAAGTCTACCACGAGGAAGCGAGAGAATGTGTCGTATCTGGCCGCTCGAAAACCGCGTCTCGGGATTTCGAACGCCGACAGTTCGGAGTAGACGCGAGTGTCGTCGCGATTTTTGAGGTTACGTCGACGAGCGTAGCCTTGGCCGCGCGCGAACGACCTCGATTGGTCGGAAACACTCGCAAAATCGTCCTTCTCCCTTCGTATCGCGTTACATAATTGTTCGTCCGTCCGTTCGAGCGAACATTTATGGCTTACCCCGGGATTCGCGATCTGTCATAACGTGATATTCCGACCGCTCCGTATCGCGCCATATTGATAGCAAAGTGTTTTTATGACCGCGAATCCGTGTTTCTCGAGTGTTTTGCAGTTTTGGCGAATCCCGCGGATCGTGAGGCAGGAATTGTCGAGACACGGAATCTTGAGCGATGAAAAGTGCACATGCGATATGTACGATGAGTTGCATCGATTCGAAAATAATTTTGAGGTCTAATGGTTTCATCCGTAGATGTTTACGCGTTATCGGAGATGAAAATTGTGAGCCGTATTGTGTTTAAAGTAAATAATTACCGACTGTATTTAAAGTAAATAATTATGAGAGATAAGTCAATCGTTTGTCTTCTATTCGTCGATCGTATCGCTGACATTGAAGATTCTGTGCGAGAGAAATGACATTTTGACAGGCGCAGGTGAAAAGTTTTACTTGTATGGAATTTTTATGGTCCGATCGTTTATTTTTCAGCTGCAAAATGACAGAGGGTAGTGTGCCCAGAATGAAGCGCAATGGTGCGCGACTTTTTAAGAATCCTCCACAGCCGCATATGTGCATACAAGATTTTATACAGGTATTATATCATTATAATAACAGTATTATTGTAAGAGTATATTGTTTACATTGTGCGTGCTGGAATGGATAGCATGAATGTTATATAAATGTTAATTTTCTCCATCAAGGGCACTACTGCACCATGTTACGTGAATGTATTGTCTTGGGATAAAATTGCGATGCCTCGCAAGCCTTCACTGCCCGTGCCGCTCTACGGAGGTATGAGAGTGCCACCACCTCGCACAAAAACAGAAGCCATTGTGTTTGCTGTAATGGCTAATCCAGAAGTCTTACGAATGAGTGGCAAGAATGCTCAGGATCCAAAGGTAAATAATGTTTTTACATTTATAAAATTATCTGGAGAATAATGAAATTTCTATTACAATTATTTCTTATTAATTCTCAATGACTCATTTATTGCGTATGTTATTTTTTCCAACAGAAGCGTATGAGCTTTATCGAGTTATTACTAGACTTTGTAGAAGCAATGAACACAGGAGTTTTCTTCAGTCGTCATTATACAATTTTAAAAGATCGAGATATTACGGGCGAATTGAAGGAAGTTTGGAACGCCGTATTAGCCATTCGTGATAGCGAGCAGCGTCCGCCTCAGCAAGAAACCTGGATCGACGCTCAACCTTCTGTATCGCAATATCCTCAGTATCCAGAACAACAGCAGCAGCAACAAGAGTATACTCCACAACCGCCACAGTATCATTCGAGCATTGCATATGGCAGAACTATTAGTAATGAAAATATGCACTATGACAATTACGGTCATCAGCCTCAAAGCTCGATAATTTCCAAAAACGAGCCGATCTTCATATCAGGTCCTATTATGTCACAACAGTATCATGGTAAAGTTCCTCAAGTACTCTCACTTGATCGTTATAATTATCGGGAACGTGGTAGAGAAGATCAAATCGTGCAAAATATTATTACGGCGCAGCATCAATTTCAACCTAGACAAGCATGGCCACAGTATGTGAATACTAAATATATGCATCCGAACTCGAATCTGCCATACGGACCAGCTACAAATACTCCTCCAGTGATTAATCCTCCGAGCCTGATCAAGCCTTTTCAGCCATATGCCCCTTATCAGCAACAACAGCAACAGCAGCCGCGCATGGACAATGTAATGCACATTGATATGCGTAGGATGCAGCAACAACAACAGCAGCAATCACAACAAATGCACTTGAATACTGTACAGCCACAGCACGAACAGCCTGGATCGTTCAATGTACAAAATAATGCGCACAGGACGGGTAGACCGCATATGGGAGTAGTTCAGAAAAACAATGCTACTAAGAGGCAGAATTCACCTATGCATACTTCTTGTACAAATTGTCAAACAAAGGAAGATCAATCCTTCACGAAACCGAAAAGTCCTGTCAAAGTTCTCCAAAGAGAAACACTGATGGAGCGGCAGGATATAACTAATCATACGGAGAATAATAAAGTTTCAACAGAAAAAACAGAAGAATCAAAGACTGCTTTAGTGACAGATCTAAATGAGGATTTTAAAAAAGATGAAAATGTGGCTGTGGATACGTTGGAAAAAGAAGATCTCGATAATCCAGAAAAGGCATATACTATTGATGATCCGCCGCCATGCGAAGAGAAGAATCCTGTAAAAATAGATAAGCCTTCAGAAACAAAAGAGACAGAAGCGTCAGCAATGCAACAACCAACTGTTCAAAAGAATCCCAACAAGTTTGCCAGAAACAATGCTAAAACGCGAAAAATGATGAAAAATGACAAGCATAATTCTCTTGTATCGGATAGTCCGAAGCGCTCGCAGCCAACAATGAACAGCATTATCAAGAGCGTGTTCAAGATTAATGCGAGCGGGTCTGGTGAAGAGACGTCTAACAAAAGAAAAGTAAACGGTCAAACGAAGACAGCTAATGGTAAAACGTGCGAGAATGAGGAACAAGGGCAAGGATACACGATATTAAAGAAGGAGGCTCAGGAGGAAATAGTGAGCGAGATTGCTCAGATATCCATTCAAGACTGCAAGGACGCGACCGAAGTCGGTCCCGTGCTCTCGTGATAGCCTGATCTACAGCTGGTATACAGCTGTGTTATCACGCGATCGAGAGCTTTGATGTAAATAAATAGAACATTATTCGATAGAGAAGTCACAAGAAAATGAAAGATACTGGAGAGAGAGGAAGAAAGGAGGAGACCTGCCTTTGACGATCGAAACATTTACAGAAGAAATATTTCGAGTCCTTTCATTCGGAATCTACGCGTCTTCCTTTGGGAAAATTTTGACGGTCAGATATCGCGCAAATAGCTATGGACATAGTGTGTGTAATTCTACATATGCGATGAATCATTGTCACAGTGCCGTTGAATTTTTCGATAGTCGGTATCTGAAAGCATTCATCTACAAGAGACACTTCGATAGTCGATATTTTAATTCTTGGCGATCCACAATTTTTCAGAGATAATCGCATAATGTACTTTGAAGTTCTTTTATTTTCAAAGAATTTATGCTTCTTGAAGGCTTGGAGTAAGTTCAGAATTCGAAAGAAATAAGATAGCAAAGTGGATCATTAAGAATTAATCAGCAGGCTGTGAAAACTGTTGCAAACATAGTGTATATGATCATACTAGAGTAACAGTACTAGAGTAAAATCATCGTGTCTATTTATCAGCTATCGTCGACTATGGAAATGTCAAGAAAGCCATTTGTTTGGGTACAATTTGAATTTTAATGTATAGTTTGATTAATTAATCACTTTTTTTACAATGGCCATATTTAAAACATAGATTATTTTCTTCTATTTTGTTTTTAATAGAAATTCAATACAATTTAATTATAATTTTCGTAATATCTCTGTAACTACTATTACAAAGATGCAAAAAATTCCAAAATGTCGAGAGACATTCATGCGGTGGAATTTATTAGATTTTTGTTTAATAGAATTAGCCAATTAAATGACGAATTCAGTTTTCTTTCTATTCTAGATTTTATAGAAAAATAAGTGTTATCTCTTATATAAAGCGATGACACATGATTTGTTAAATGTTTAAGTTTTGATTTAAAACAGATAGATATATAAAATGAGTGAGTGACTGAATGTATGTGTATATTTGTGTGTATATGTGTATAACTGAACAAAACTAAATGAGTTTGATATTATTACTGTACCCACTATGGCAACGAATCATTTGAGCTCACGTTTGTTAATTGAATTCCATCTATCTAATAATCTGCTTCCAATATTTCTCGGCAGAGGGTAGTCGGATAAACAAAGAGAGTGATATTAAAATACTTTTAAGTGTATGAGATAATCTGGAACTTGGAACGCTGCTTAGCTCTATGCACGAATATGAATTGAGATTCGCTTTAGATTTGACTGAGCGCTAAAGCTGATTAAAATAAGCGCGATGAGCGAGTGGATACATGTGTGTGCTATTTAGAACAGCAGTCTCCGAATATTGTGACGCGAAATTTATCGCCTCGATAAATCATCGGGATGAAACATCCGATATAATCACAGATGTACGCGAAATTACTTCTATGATATTGGGAATTTTCGCTGATTAACGGATCATGTGATAGTTCATCGCCAATAGCTATTTAGAGATTCGCTCTGTGATTGAAACGTGTGAACCAATGTTTTACCCAGCTCCGTTAAGTATGCAGCGATATTGTCGACAATCTACCATTAGGGAGAGATGGTAGATTTAAGCCGGAATAACGTGTAATTATTGCGAGACGAGTGTTGCCGTAGATTAACGAGGAAAGAAGCATTTTATCATAGAATGTATAATTTGATCATCGCTCGTACTTATCTTCCTACAAAGCAATCGGGGAAGTTCCTATCAAAATTTGTATAACTTCTCCTTTAAGAACGTATAGTCAGCGAGAATCGTTCTTTAATCTTATCATTGGTTAACAAGAAATATCAAATCTTTTAATAAGGATCTATTATTTGTATATTACACAATTTATATTTATATATATATATATTATAGAATTTAATTCGAACAATTTTTTGACATTTTAATATTATATTTTATCGAAATAATTAATTTTCGAAAAAAAAATCGGACAATGACTCGCTGATCACGTTCGTAATCAAAAAACTTCCATTTAAATTCTCAATTGCAAATTGATTGCATTTCAGTTCCTTCGATTCATTTATCTTTCACTTTGAACAATCGTCTTCTACGCGTCAAATACTCAAAGCCAATTATGCAATTTACAGAGGACGGAAAATCTGCCATCACACAAACTCACCGTATAATCTTATAGTTGAAAGAGTGTACAGGGATATCGTAAAGTAACCCATCTGAAGAAATACGCTTCTCAGTTGGATACTCTGCCAGTTTTATCAGCCTAAGAAGAGAAATATGCATCACATACGGTCTGATCGAGACTAATCGGTCAATTATTGCGCCTATAAACATAATCGCCCAATTAGCCCTCGATTAGTAGACGACTGGGTCGCGCATATTATTTTCCTATTTAATGCGTTAAGCGACATCGCACATTAGCGACCTTGTCTCCGAAAGATGAACAAAAACTAAACAGTTTTAGCGAAACATAATGTTTAAAGCGTTAAGTAGCCACCTAATGTTAACAGTCTTCTAAGGATAAAAATAGTGTTTGGCCTCTATTGTAGACGATAGACTGTCATTTATATTCTAACAGTTTTCACACAATTGCTGCCACGATAAGAGTGGTGGATAAAGCTGCCATTTTTAAATTGAAATAGTTGGAAAGAGTCGATTTTTAATCGCGCAAATAGTGCACGAATGTGTAATAATCAATTCTTAAATCTAATTATCATCTCGATCAAGTCGACTTTCTTCTTCTTCTTCTTTTTCCTGAATTTTATAATTCAGGATGAGCCTTCCTTCACTTGATTTCCTAGTTTTGTGATAAGAACGAGTGATATTTGTATTTAACGAGATTTGCCAACCGCTCTTACGCGTCACTTCGAAGTCGATGTTTTATTAAAAATATATTTTTATACTTCTAGTGGGGATTTTCAGCTGAGAATGTAACTTTAGGAATTGTGAGATAATTCTCAAAAAATGCATTATTTTTTTATTCAAACACAAAAGATTATAACATGAATATTAAATTCTTCTACCATGCAATGCAAAATTAAATTATTATTATTATTATTATTATTATTAATTACATTATATATTTTTTCCAATTTTTGTTATAAATTATGTTATTTAATTTATGAGTTTATTTTTTATTTTTATTTAAACACATCTTTAATTTCTAATATATTATAACTTTTGAATACAGATATTAATAATTGCGTGCGCAATATTTTGGTAATTTTTATTCTAATGAAAAGCACAATTTTACTGCGTTTTCATTATAAAAAATTTTTAAAAACTAGTTATAATTATTAACGAAAATTATAAAAGTATGATTATATTTTTAGACTAATAATATAATTTTTGAACATCACCTATATACGAGAGTTAGCAAGTTAATGGCATTTGAAAACGGCATTTTTACGGGAGAAATCCTTTTCGCGGAAATTTTATCGTTCTCTGAATACATAATCTAGGTATATTATCATATATAGTAGTTTTAAGAGATTCGGATTATTACAGGGAGACTCTTTGCAACTATTTAAATTTGCGAACCGCACTTTTATCATGATCCTCGCATGTTTCGATATTTTAAAATGTACTTGTCAACTATTGGAAGAATCGCCTACTCTCGAATTTTATTTCCAAACATTAGTCATGTTTGTTCAGCGTATTCTCGAGGTGCTTCGTTAGTAATATTAAAGATCTCAGCCCGCGTGATTAGTTATTTGTTTATATACGGTAGCGTGGAAAGGACCATAATCCGCAGAGAGACATGAAATTATATAAAAGCGAGGAGAAAAGATGAAGCATGTCACATAAAATGTGATGCGAAAATACCTCGATTACTGTGGAAAATTGCGATTTTACAATCGGCAGAATTCTCTTGGAAACGATGTGGGAATAAGGCTGTGTAATTATTATATTGCGACCTGAGTCCCTTCTCTATATACGATATAAGTATTGTTTTATTTACATACTAAGCGTCCTCTCATAAGCGATGACTAAGTCGAGCTATGGCAAGCGAATCCATATATCGCGCGCAATTTTTACACAATATAAAATTCTAAATGAAATAATCGTATAAAGATCAGAGATCAAATAACGATAATGAATTTATAAGACGTGATTTATGTTTTTCATCGCATTTTCTTTCCTCTTCCTAAGTGTATGAATATGCTTTATTAAGATTCAAAATATTCGCAATTCTAGCGAAAAACCAAGCTTCGTCAATGAAGAAAAGTGTTTTAAACAAAAGTTGTTTTAAACAAAAAAAATGAAATTTATTCTCATATGAAATTATTTATACAGGTAGATTATTTCTGACTACATGTAATTTTGATTCTGTTGATTATCAATGAAAGTGAATATCAAATGTTTGTTTTTTTTTTTTCAATTTTCTTTTTTATTCGAATACACGATGGCGCTTAGTGTGTATTGGCGGAAGTTTATTTATAAGTTTATTTAGAAATTTGCGTATTTAAATTTGCGTATTTCTTACAGATCTTTAATAATGATATTGAAACAGCGTGATTTTAAGTACTTCTTTTAAGTCTTCAGAAAGAGAGAGACAAAGCAGCGCATTCAAATGCCGATACAAATTTTGTCAGTTTTATGACTTTATTACGGCATTTTTTTTCTTTTAATTAATTACAATTCTATAGCGGCCTGGTCCGTTTCTCTGCCAAAACTTCCTTGACGCCGCCTCTTATCTGATTATTGTTAATAATATGTATTCAGTATTTGTGTTATTTTAGATTCTTATTATATTGTCAGGTACATATAAATATATTATGATTTATTATATTATTATTGCCACGAACATTGTACTCTATTATTATTCTATAATATATGATTTTTCCAAAGTCTATCTAGTATCATTGCTCGTTTTATCCGCTTGATTTTTACAGTTTAACTGAACCGATTCATTTTTTCATAATAACGATCTGATAATTTATTTTCTTATTTTCTATCCTAAGATAATTTAAAAGTAATTTTTTTTAATGAAGATGTCACGAGAAGATGTTATCATATTGAAATTAGTATATATAAATATTGGCTGTGTGTTACATTGCATCAATCAGAAATTTATGCATATTTTTTTAAATAAATTAGCAGTCAATTTTTTAAGCAATGATACGTATTTTTTCATTATCAATAACTTTTTGCAATTTTATTGGCAATATTTTTATTTCATACTATATAATATTATAAAAATCGATTATATACAAACATTTGTGAATACATTATATAATACGATTATATAATAAACATTTGTGAATACATATATACATTTATATGTCTATAAATGTACACAAATTTATGTATGACCTGGCTCATATATTATATAATATATTTGATATTATAAAATATAAATTTTGCTCGATGAAAATGAATTTTTTCAAAAGATAATACATAATACAACACTAATTTATACTCACGCGCTTCATAATCTTATATCTATATTTTTTTATGTGAAAATGAATAGACAAATTACATCAATAGATCGAAAAATATTGCAAACTTGTAATGTAATGATCAATTATGCTTTCACTAACATAAGGAAGGACCATTTCGATACTTAATTTCGTGTAGAGAGAGAAACTTCGTGTGGGAAGAACGAAGGTGGGAGGACTTTTCTCTTCCGTTTGTGTCAAACGAGCCATGCTATAACTCTCACTCACTAGACGTTCGGTTTATTCCCACAAAAACGATTTGCATCAACCATCTGTCGACGTTGGTCAATTTCCGACAATGACGCGGGCTTTTCCGGTGTGCAACGACAATTTATATGAGCAATCATAATTTATCGTCAATAAATAGTGCAAAAATTCCAAGAGTCTAGACTTCCTTTCAGCGAGATTGAAAGGATGAAATTTTAACGCGAGACACATCCGCGAGTGCATTCGCGCGACACTTACATCCGATTCGACGATTAGAAATATCTTCCGTGTTTTCTTGTGAAAGTGTCGTGATATCACGTGCCACTCCTACCTCATGCATTCGAAACTAGATTTGGACATGCATTATGTAACATAAAATAAACAAGGTTTCATTTACAAATCGCATGTTGCAGTGAATTGTGCTAAATGATCCAAAAACCTGTGCTAAGTGTCTTAAGGACTGACTTTCTCATATCAGTAAATGTAAAAAATACCTTGTAAATATAAAATCGAATTTTTAACTTTTGTTTCACAATCACGGACTATGATTTATAATATATAAATTATTTTTTTCGAAAGAAAAAAATAGTTTCTTTTCTAAGTCAAATATACATCAAAGAAGATTATTTGGAAAATTTACAAAAGAAGTTATAGAATATTTTGTAAGAATTTTAAATTTGATCTCTTTTCATCGTGCGAATTGTTTTTACAGAAGAATACATTGTATAAGACAGCATCCATTACGAACTGTATGTGGAAGGGAAAGAGAAAGTGGAAGGGGTGCCTTTCTCCAGAGTAGGTACGACTAAAAACCTGCTTGAAAGAGCTCTTCTGTACAGCAAGGACTCTAAATATAGTTAGTACAATATCGAGACTTGCAAGAACAACATCTCGCGAGCGCACAAGAAATCTTGTTCTATTATTCTATTTATCTAATCATCTTTTATCCTATTCATTGAAGTCAGCGCTGCATTGCAAGAATCATCATCCAAGTATTATCCTAAATATTATAGTGCTCTGATGGACAAAAGTGACCAAAATGACGGAAAAGTTACCGGATAATGTTTCTGTGGAAGGTCAGTTATTTTGTATAAAAAAGATGATTTTTAATTGCGACAGAAAAGATTGATCGGTCAGTTTCAATTTTTTTATTACACAAGATATCTTAGAATTATTGATATTAATTTCACTAATTTAGTTTCTTTAATTAATTCTATTTTTCTTAAAATTAAAATAAATTAATAAATTGATAATTCGACAGCGATTTCGCCCCGATATTTTTCTCGCCTACATCTTTTCAGGGGGGTAAAGAGAGATTTTATAGTATTCTCAAAAATGAGAATCTATATCTTGGTTAATGCACCAAGTAAAATATATACATATGCCTTGTGTGCGTTTTAATTTTCGCGAATTATTAATCTTTAAAAAATTTTACGTACTACCATCTGCAGTGGGTCTTAATCGCTCTTTTCTCGTGTATAGTGTTGGTTAAAATAAATTTTTTATTAGATTTTTAATTTATGTGAGATTCTATTTTATATATTTATATATTTATTTTATATATTTATATAATTTTAATTGTATATCTACGAATATCTTATATTTATAAGTACATGCTTGCAATATATAAGAAAGAGAACTATTAGTTTAAGAAATAGAAAACATACGTAAGCAATTATAATAAAATGTTAATTAACAAGTAACACAAATTTAATATCATTAGAATTCACCATTCTCTTTCAAGGTTGTAATAGATAAGGTTGTATAATAGATGGAGGTTCATAGAAACAGTTTTTTTCTCTCTTTTATATATTTGCTATGAGATATTATATAAGACTTTCGAATCGTGTATGTTAAATTATATAATAAATGATCGAATAAATGTCGAAATTTATACAATAAAAGCTTTTTCTTCGGAAATGTCAAAAAATATCAAACATATTATATATGTTTGTGCAAAACAATGCATTATTATTATTATTATAATTCGCACTAATCATAAAAAAATGATAAAAATTATTACATTATTTTGTTTTAATTTAATTAGAGAAAACAATTAGATAATTATTCGAAAACATTTATAAAAAATATATTATAAAATATTTATTTAGAAAATTAATATGGAATTAATACGCGCAAAGTTATTTATTACTAGTTATATGTTTAATGACAAAGGTACACCAGTAAGAATTTATGTAAAAAAGATTTCCCTTTCGTTTTCATCTCGAATTGAAAGAACCACAGCTTGTCTAATGAAAGTACGAATAGAATGCGACCTCAATTTATATTGACTGGTATTTATCGCTGCAGTACTTGTCGCATTAAAATTACAGAATGCTAAAAGAAATCATACACTTGTAAAATGTGAATGAAAATGCTGATCCAACGAATAATTCTTTTAACTTATGAATTCTTTTAAGTTTGAGAATGAAAACAACTCGATGAACTCTAACTCTTTTAATTCGTAATAAAGATTTAATAATAAAGAATTTTTATTATTTATATGACATTGATAAGGATCTGTAAAAGATCGAAACGTGCGTCTGTCTTTAAAATTATATTTTTATAGTCTTTTTGTGCCGACAGAGTTTGGCTTATTAAATCATTTTTTAATTTAGTAGCTCTGTTTTGCGTTTCAACTGTTAATTATTTTTTCGTACGAACATCCTATGTCACAGTCCGGAAGCCTTCCTTTTCTAATTTATATTATTACGGACTGTTAACCCTCTTTATTTTTAATCTTTTAATTAGAATTGGAAAAATTTCTTAATTGAGATAACTTTGAATTTTGAAAGTCATATTTAATGAAATAAAATGACAAAAGCAATATACGGATGATAACAAAACACAATAAAAAAGAAAGGCTAAAAGATCGTGACGCAATGTTAGAAGTAATAATAAAAGACTCTAAATAAGATACATAATATATTAGTCTAGATACATAATATATAATAATCAGTTAGATATAAAAATACATATGTACGTTTCGATCTTTTCATGTCGCGACATCAGATAACATCAGAATAAATATTAACTTCAATACATTACTTTTCATTTTTCCATCAATGTATGGATATCCGAGTATATTTTCTGTGTGTTGTCGATATATTGCGATAATTTGTTTATAGAAGCTGCTGGATTATCACCCATTCTTTTTTAGTATATTTTAGAAAGTTTCCAAATATAAAGATCCTTTATATTTTATTTCGAGCAAAAAAATTAACATAACAATTTTTAATATTTAAATCATTTTGAATATCTAGTTTATCGACAAAAAGATTAAATAAAATTTATTATATCAAGTATTGACGATAAATGCGAAAATATTTGGACAAAATCTAATTACGATATAATAATCAGACCGTAAAAAATTTAATGTTAGCAGAAATTTAATGTAAACAGAATAATCAATATAAATGAATATTACAGATATTGCATAAATTGTACATGAATATTACAGATATTGCATAAATTAACAATAAATTGCAAAATATTTCTTGCAAATTATAAACTGAAATAAAAACTAAACTGAAGTGTTTTTCCATTTATTGTTTATCAGAGTCAATATTGATTTTGAACTATTTTTTTAAAAGGTTAAATGAAATTGTGTAGTCGACCAAACTAGCCAGAAATATAATTTATTCAATACGACGTTTCGACCATATGGTTGTGTCAGTCTTTGACGAGGTCCCACACGGACTCATTGTTCTTAAAAATTGAATTTTAAAAATAAAGTTTGTTAATGTGACTTGTGCTTTGTACAAGATTATTATCTATGCCGACACTCTGATTACCATTACTTCGGCTAATTTTGTATACTTGATAAGGACCACAACCATATGGTCGAAACATCGTATTGAATAAATTATATTTCTGGCTAGCTTGGTCGACTACACAATTTCATTTAATCTTTTGAAAATTCGACTAGCGATATTAAGCTATCTACATATTTTTTTAAAGCTTTATTAAATATTCTACACGTTGTGTGTATATCTAGCCAATAATAGCCTAAAGCTATTTCATAAGACCATTGTTACAAGTCATAATTTTCATAATTTTTTCAGTTTATAATATAGCATTTATTATCAGAGTCAATATTGATTTACGTAACATTTGATTTTCAACGTTATTGCAACATCATATTAATTATATTATATTTCTGATTGAGTAAAAGAATTCGATCACCGATTGCAGTCAACGGCTTAAGTAAACTTGTAATAGCATCTTCGTATGATATTTTATTCATAATACAATATATTTATATTGATATATCAATACAGACTAAATAAATTTTAGAATAGCGGAATTTTAGAATAAATATTTTTCTGGTGTTGAACTCTATTTATTTGAGAGAATATATAATAGAGATTTATATGATTTGTTTATAAATTTATAAATCCTGCGTCATATAGAAATAATATATTAATTTTATTCTCATTTAGTAACATCTCAAATATTTTGCAATGAATCACGTAGTCTTGACCTTATATATTCGTGTTAAGCTAATATTCTATTCTGTGGATAAACATTGCATAATGTGTGCAAATAGTAGAATATCTAGATAGTAAAATTTCCGTTCGAGAAATGAAAATTTAAATGCTGAAGAAAAATTCAATGTCAGTGTATTATTTTATATTTTATATAAATATATTCCAACTGATGTAAATTTTTGGATGACTCGTCAATGCCAATTTTTAGCATTTTACAGCGTTTCTAAGGCTGTAATAAAATCAAGCTATAGTAATAAGATATAGTAATAAAAGTAGTAATATAGTGTAAAGCTATAGTAATAAGTTTTTAAATTTTTATAAGATTTATACGTATATTATCTTCTTTTAAAACATTTGTTGGAAAAAAAAAAATATATATATATATATATATGATAATATTAAATAATTTTATCATTAATAAGAGATAGTTATACGACTGTAAGTTTTATAATTATTTTTGCATGGTAATTAAATTCATTCTATTTTTAATTGTTATCCGAGAAATAATCATATCTTGCCATACATTGCATAGGATGTACGCGTTATGTCAGATTGTTAAAATTCTGAGTTGTTTTGATTCCGTTCACGTGCACATCCACAAATGTCAACGTTGATTTCGGCATTTTTACATGCAAAACGTGTTCTCAATCGCAACTTGTGTTATCGCGATCGTACAACCTCGTTACACGCATCCTCCTTGTTTTGTCAAGCGTGGCTTTTAGGAATATCATTATGTGATTCACACACTGGGTAATTCGAAAGAAATCTCATTAAAATGCCTGGTCAAAAAATATATTTATATTTAAATTAATTTTTTTTAAATAAAATTATTGGCAAAATCTACAAATTGGAAACAAATAGCATATTTTTGTTAACATCCCATGATGCAGCACATGATATCATTCGAATATTCTACACTCATACTGTGAACATACGTTACAGATGTAACATACTGAGAACATTTCCATAACATCTCTTGTTGTATATTTCTCATATTTTCTCATATTTTCTCATATATTCTCAGAATATACTTTGAATATCTCTTATCAGTATATTATTTCTCGTATATTTTCAGGATACTCTATAATATTGTATGTGTTTCTTCTTTTTGCTGCTACGCACGCTACCAAACTCGTACTCAATTTTTCATAAAATGGGAAAAGAACTGGTATTAACATAAGTTTCAAAGTTTCTTCTTCTATTCTTTTTAGTTAGTTTAATTTATAACAAACTGATTTAATTTAAAGTAATTTGTCTAATAATCTGGATTCCTTGTTAGAATTCAGAATATTAAACAGATTATTTGAAATTAAAGAGAGAAATAATCCATTTACTGCGTTTATTAAAGCATTTCTATTGTCGAGTGTACTTTATACATAATTGTACATATTCGAGATTATCGAGATAAATATTTCAATAAAAATTATTTAATAAACACTAATAGATATTTTTTAAACGTTTTATATTTATCTATTAGAAATAACATTTTTGTCTGAAGCTTTGTTTATAAAGTAAATAATTTCACATTTTTATTTATTTTTTACATGAAGAATCTATTTTTTATTCTACATATAATCCAATTGTCTTCTTTAGTCATATATAATTTATTAATGTAAAAATATGCTTAAGATATTCTAAAAATATACCTTATAATATACTATAAAATATTCTGAGTATATATTGAGTAGGTTTCTACGTCAGACATAGGAACATTCTTTGTACATTCTCAAAATACGTATATCAAATATTAGTTAATTTATAGTAAATGTACACAATCTACGTTTGCGATATACTGAGTACATACTCAGGATCTACCTGTGCTGTATGGGATTATTATATTCTAATATGCACATGCGTGAGTTAAAATTTATAAATGATAATATTTGGAATATGAAAATTTTTTGCTAGATTGTTTTCAATTTTTAGATTGTTCTAATTTTCATTAGAAAGTATAATTTTTTCGGTGAATTTCTAGACGTAGCGGAAGAACGAATGCGCATCATTCTTAAGGAAGGTGCTGAGACTCCGATGAATTTCGAATGTGTAAAACCAGAATTACCATCGTTTTACGATGAGAAAAAATTTCGGCTTGGGCAGCAAGCCTTCTACAATAATATCTTTTCTATGATGATCGCGAAACTTTGCGGTTTAGTATCTCTCCTAGCAATTTCGACCATACTTAAGGTAGTTATGTTCACCAAAAAAAGCGGAACTCCTTGTTTGGCTTATCGTAGATATGCATCGACAGTTCTTCATACAATTGTATGGCATGAAAAGGATCCTCACGGAAAGCCCAACGAGTACGTAAGACAAATAAGTGAACATGAGATTTTGCAATACAAGAAAAACAAAAGAAACAGATTTACACTAAAATATAAAAGTAATAAATAAAAATTATTTCATTCGAATATTAGACATACGTGATATATTATAAAGTTATAGATTTATAAAATTGCTAATAATGAAAACTGTTGATACGATAAATTTATAAACACATATAATCTACTTTATTAATTTTTATAAAATTTGTATGATTATAATTTTTATTAGTTTTATATAAAATAAACAGAATTAAAATAATTAAAGTAATTAACGTTTTCAAAAAGAGATTGTACATCTATCTTGACAAAAATTTGGAATTGTATAAAAATACAACTTTATATAAATGTAAGACTTTAATAGCTTTAACTTATGTAGCAAATTATTTAAGCAATTATTTAAACAAGTATTCAAGTAATTAAATTTGAATTAAACTTTAAACGTTAATATTGAATGATTCTTTGAATATATTTTATTAATTAATGTAAATAATAATATTATTTATATTTATATATCTTTTCAAATATTTTTTTAACATAGTACACAATACATTGTACTTATAAATTTATTTCTACCTCCTTTATGATACATATCCTTTATGTATAGTATATATAGTATCATGAACTCATTGTAGATTCTTGGAGTCCTTGAAAATCGTGCGGAGAAAACACTGTGTTGCATTCCGGCAAAGTACTGAGGCTGGCGTTCATAAAGCAACGCAATTGGATATGGCACTCGCTCAGTTCGGATTCATTGGATATACTATGATAAGCGGAGAATATTTAGGAATAAAAACTACTTCTGAAGAAATGGAAGGCGTAGTGCATCTCTGGAGAGTCATCGGGAGCATGCTTGGGATGGACGATAAGTCGGTATCTTTATTTGTCTTTTATTGCGTACAATAAGATGATAAAAATGTAAGCAGAAGCGAATAATTGAAAAATTAAATTATTATTAATATATATATATATATATATATATATATATATATATATATATATATTGATATGATATTCATAAACATTTTTTTGTTCTTTTAGATTCAACCTTTGTACGGGAACAGTTGAAGAAACTCGCGCTCTTTGCCAAAGAGTATTGGAAGATGTGTTCATGCCCTCTCTGGCGAAAAAGAATGAATACTTTGAAGAAATGGGCAACGCGATGTTAGAGAGTCTCTGGCCCATCAACTTCAATATTGAACCACTAGCATTCACAGCATTCACACTTTATCTGGCCTCTTCGACTGCACGTAACAATAATCACTCTATCGAAATAGGTAGTTCTTTTCAAGCTTGAATAAAATTTTTAAATTTCGGAAAAGTATATGAAATTAAGAAAATGAAATAAATAACAAAAAGATTCACTAAAGTATGCATACGTACTCTTTTTTTAGAATGGGGTTTTTTATAACTAAAAAATAAATAGTATTGATTTTAAATATAAGAGACGATAAATTTTTAACATCGTAGATACAATGTATCATTTACACGAAAATAACAAAATATATTTTCAGATACTTCGACCATGCCATTTTACAGCTGGTACCTGTTCAATCTGCAACATTTTGTGCTGAAATACTTAATGCGACCTAGTGCTTGGTGGTCTTCAATTTTCCGCGCATTTTTTAATGCTTTAATGCGTTTGTCGATCTTCTTATTGGAAAAATATCCCTTTCTCGCTTATTGGAAATTTGGAAAGGAATATGCTAATGTTAGTATTTTTCATTATCACTTCGATTGAATACTTAATCGAAATAAGGAAAAATATCAAGCTTTATAAAATTACATTCAAATTATGAAATTCCATGTAAAAAAAATCTATGATATGACATGTATATTATAATAATTAATTTAGTATTATATACGTATATAAACAGGGTAAAGATTGCTCATCAAGAAAAATATATATTTTTAAATATACTTTTTATATAAAAAAAACGAAAAAATATATATGTATATGTCAAGATTCGTGTTGAGATTATAATCAAGATGACATTGAAAAAAAAATAAAGAATTATTGCGGCCTTTAAAAGCTAATATGGGAAGAAAGGCGGCTAGTAACGTAATAAGACTTGTAATTATAATTAAATTAACAATATAATTATAATCATTAAGATAAACTATATTGAGACTTTTAATATAATTGCGTAATGTATAAAAATAAAAAAAATATTCAAGACAATGTTAGTTACACTCAGTTCAAATATTTTTTCAGATAATACATACATAACACAATGTCCAAAATATATATTTTTATAGTTTTATGGTGCTTAATCATAAATCATGTTGTCATTACTTCAAATTTTTTAATTTAATGATTAAAATTAATAGGCAAATTATTATATACTTTTGAATCTAATTATTAAAAATGTATATAATATATACAAGTTTATATAATTTTTTATGTAAAATGTTTTTCAATTAAATAAATATATGTGGACAATATATTTTAAAATATAAGTAAAAATAAAGAGAAAATTTGCTTGTACATGCAATATTTTATAAGTAAAAATGAAAGAAGCTTGTCTGTGTATGCATAAAATATAAGTATCTAAAATGTGATCTAGTAAGTGATCCAGTAAGAAAAAAAATTATTTTTATAAAATTTTCTATTTTGCAAAAAATATGTCATCACAGTTTAATGAATACAAAGATATTTTGCATTTCTAATTAACATCAAAAAAATAAAAATAAAAATTCTGCGCAAAAGATTCTGAAATTATGATAATAAAACTTAAAAAAGAAATAAATTAAATCGATTAAAATAATGTCTGAATTTTAGCTATAATTTAAAAAATATTCTTATATGCAGCACATATATTGTATTTTATATTAAGGCTGCGGTCAAGGCTATGAATGCTCCGAAACATCATTCTATCTTTATTCTTATGGAATATAGAACAAAAATAGAATGATGTTTCAAAGCATCCAGAGCGTCTTCCCGACCGCAATCTAAATCATATCAAAATATCGAGATATTGATATCAACGAAAACAATGATTATTACGTTACATATTTCACGTTGTACGTTTTATATTTTACGATAATAACCATATAATCATAATTGTAACGATTAAAAATATTTCTTTTGAAATTTCGGGAAATCATTCCGTTTTAATACACGATGCCTGCTGGTAGGTCTCTTTAACATTTTTTAATATTTAAAGTTGATTCTGAATCTTTTAATCGTTTAGTTGATATCCAATGTTAAGTGCGTTAAAAAAAATTAAGCTATAATTATGATATTAAATGCTTACAATATATATATAGTTAAAAATATAACATATTAATTTACATACAATATATACAGTTTTCTTTTAAATATAATTTTTTATATAATAATTAATGTAATGATGATTGAGATGATATTAACGGATAATTCAAAATACTTTTAAGAGTTTTGCCAAGTCAATTATTTATACTATTATTTATTAGATTTATTAGATTAAATTATACATCACCAAATAATTAGCACAGTTAACAAAATTACAACTAGAATTAAATAATATAATATTTTATAGATATATTTTATTAAAAAAGAATGAATTACTTTATATTGTAACCATTTCATAGTAAGGCACTTGCATACGTGACTCATTTAAAATGCCACAATAATTATAGTTCCGCAGCACGTTTAATTATATCTCATCAAAACAATTTTTCTGTTTGTATACCTTTTCCAGTATATATAATAGCGATTAATGAACGGCGCACAAAAGAACAATGTATATCGGCACAATTCGATATTACGAACTAGTATTATGCACAAAAACATTATCGTTAAATAGATGAAGCTGTAATTGCATAATGAGATTATATTGATGTAAATAGTTGATATAAATATAAAAAGTTACATTTTATTTACACATGAATCTTGCTTTCTATATAAAAAAAGTATAGAAAATGTAAAATATTTCATATATAAATTTATAAATTTTAAAAAGTATGGCGAGGACAAAATATGTAAAATTATTTATTATCGTAAAATTTATTCATAAATTTAATTAATTAATTTGATTAATTAATATGCATATATCTAATAAAAAATTATCGCAAATAAAATAATGTTATAGTTTAAAATTTGAGCGCATTTCATATTATTTTATATATGCAAGAGAGAAATACTTTAAAAGAATATATAAAAAACTGATGACAAATAAAATAGGCACGGCATCATTTGAATGACAACGGAAGACAGTCGCAGGCCAATTTACCGCAAAAATACAAATTGCACCTGCGGATGGGATGTAAAGTTCGGTTACGGCGTGGCATTTACGCTGGCCGTCTTCGAGGTGAAACGTCTCCTCGTGCTCGCCTTGGAGATTTTCGCGGAATGGCAGGTGATTCGATTCGCAGGTGGTTTCCAGCCGGTCGCCCTCACCTTAGCGGAGGTGGCTCTAGGATTGCCATGCGCCCTTATAACAGTACGCACCATACGCAGGTAACGTTCATTTATTCAGTAGCGATATATAAATAAGTGAATCATACACGAAAAATAATCGGAGTAAGATGCATCACTTTTTCTTTTTGCATATATATATATATATTTATATGTATATCATCTTTCACTTAATCAAATCTCATAACAAGTCACTTATATCTCGCGGAGAAATAAATAGGACAGATAATTATATTAATAATTAATTGATAATTATATTAATAATAAGATAGATACTTATATTAATAAGTAATTATCCTCGTTATAATTTTTTTGATATTTTCTTGATATTGTGATATATGAATTATGATAAAATACTGTGAATTATAATTTAAAAAAAACGGTTTTTGCAGGCGCAACTTACCGAGTTTTCGCTTGAAGACTAAGCTAGTGCTAAGATGTCTTTTGATAATAATAATTATATGTACTGCTATGAACACAGCGACCTTAGCCTCAATAGGGTATCGTGTCAGTGTAAGGCAAAAGACGCTAGTCGATGTCTTCAATACATCCATGCGCCTGTACGTCAGTGTAGCGTCATACAAGTATGCGATTGACGAAATCCAATTCGTATTACAGTGTTGCGGTCACACTTCTTACACTGACTGGTTTCTCTTCGATTGGCAGGTAAGCTTCTCCCATATCTTTCTCTGCTTCGATCGCAACTATCAGATTCGTAGAACTATAGTAACTAAATAAATTAATAAATTATCGAACCATTTTATTTATTCGTATTATGGTAGTTTGATATCACTTTATTATGTAATGTTACATTTTTTCATATTTAATATCTTTAAGAATTTTATTAGGTAAAATTTATAATATTTATATATTAATTTCTAATGTTATGCGAAATATCTATAAATTGATTAATATTATTTTGTAATTTATGTAATATCTTTATTCGATATTTTTTCGATAATAAATTTTTTAAAAGGAGTTAAGAAGAAACAATATAAATAAATAAATAAATAAATAAATATATATATATATATATTTTTTTTTTAAGAAGAAAGAATATATTGTATATACAAATGATATTGAGATGATATTATTTTCGATAAAAGAAGGTGGATTACGCGTCCCGGGAGGAAATGGCAGGACAAAGCAGAATCTCGGATGAGGACTATAGAGATCTTGGAGTCCCTTTTAGTTGCTGTAATTTACGCGTTGTGGCACCCTGTATGCACATGCAAATAACAGATGAGAAAACTATAAATGTGAACGGCTGCGCGGAAGTTATCAGCCCCATTCTTCTCAGAATCGTCATAGTCGCTTATATCATGACTAGCACTTTAATCATTATACAAGTGTTACTGGTCTTTTTAATTACTAGAGTGCGTTATCTTACTTAATCCCCATCAAGTGCTTACAAAACAATGATTATATCTTAATGAGTATTACCGCATCTGAAGTTTTTTAATGAATAATTTATTTTACATTTTATATAAGAAAATGATAATTGTATAAAAAAATAATTATTTTTAAATATTTAATTATATTATTATTTAAAAGTGTGAATTTGCTGTAAAATTAAATGCAACGGAATGAAATATTCATGATCTATGGATTTAATTTTAGATTATATAATCACTTTGGTCATCAAATTACATACGAAAAATAAACAAGGAAAATAATTATTATATAAGTTTTACAAATTTATAGTTTTTCTGAAATCATCCTGTATAAGACAAAGTATTTTTTTAATAGTTTAAACATATTAAACTTATTGTCACAGATGGTCTGCAGATTCGTACCTCTCCAAACGTCCTCTCCTCGGATAAGATGTACTGCTGCGCCATTCACCATTATAGGCACACTTCCAAGGCCTTATGTGCAACAATTTTCTTCGGTTGAGAAATCCATCTGGCGTAAAAAAACTATGCGTCGTCGTCCATTGTCTACGAATGACGTTGATATCAAGGAAAACATAAAACTTAGAAGAAGCAGTTCTATTTTGAATTACAAAAATTGGTGAGAAAAAATTTAACTAAACTTTTTTAACTTTTAATATAATTAAACTATGGAATTGCATATATATTGTTATTAAATTTTACTATATATTACCAATTTTTTAATTAAATAACTTTTTTTAATAATCATTTTTTTAATGCAGTTGCTTATTTTTTCATACAAAAATATTTTTTTAAATATTTAAATATCGAATTAATATGTGTATATTTAATAGGTGTAATTTGACAAGAATCGGAAATATTTTTGAATGAGAAATTTTATCATAAAAATATAATACATAATAAGAACAAGATATTTGATTAAGATTTTATAATAAGAAATTATTCCGAATAAAAATTATATGTAATATTAATTCTTTAATTATGTAATATATAATTATGATTGCAAATATAAAAGTAATGAGATAGTACTTTGTTCAGCAATACTTGGGACGTGGCAAGGATTAAACCGAGCGTTCACGAAGAACATAGAGTATCTGTGAAGTGTCTTCGCAACAAACGTACACGTTGAAACTCCTGCTGTGCTAATGATTCATAGATCCATTTAGCCATTAAAGCAACGCGGTTCTTTCCATAAACTGCGCATTAATGATGGTAAAATATTAATTACAATGATTAGAGGTAAGTCGCATCACTGTACATATGCACACATACATATACAATACAAGCGGCTTAGGAACAAATAATAATTTTTTTTTTAATTAAAAAGTTATTGACCTATATAATATAGAAGCTCAGTGCAGTTATAAACATTAAATGGTAACGAATGACTTTGTCATTAATCTTATTGCTACTTAAGTGCTTGTAACTCAACCGCATATCTGCTTGTTAGATTTGTTCAAACAACAATATCTTTTCTAATATTTACGATAATTTCGTTTCATTTAATACTGCTTATTTAAAATATCTAATTAATAACATTTCATCATTAATGCACTTTGAAATTTTTTATTACAAATTTATATTTATTTAAAATACAATATAAAATTATTATTTAAATTTGAATTTTTATCAATGATTATATGATTTTCCTGTTCTCAATGTTCAATAATTACACTTATTTAATCGTTATTTTATCCTGAATATATCAATAGTTTAGATGCTGACACATAATTTTTGAAATTCATTTGCGATTTGAAACGCGTTAATCTCACATAATTTTTTGTTGCGCTTTTATAGATCAGCGAATGTAACAGAATAATATCTCATAGCATAAACTTATCCTTCTTTTGTAAGTGATCAATTTTTACACATTGAAATTTCCCAGAAAAAATGATTTGAGCGTAATTTGAAATTATCAACAATCAAATATAGAATTCACAGTTTTGATAAATTAATAATGATAAGATAAAATGCTATTAATTCAATACTTTTCCTTAAAAAATTGAATTTAATCATTTATTTTAGCTTAACACTTACATTTTTGTATTACATTCTATCATTTTATTCTGAAACAAACTCTTTAAATATATAATATATATATAAAAAAAGTATATTATAATTTCTTGATAAGCCACATATTTTTACTAATTATTATATCTAAAAGATTAAATTTTGAAATAAAAATTATGAAGAATAAGAATATAAAAATTATAAAACAGATTTTTCGTACATAAATAGATATACGTAAAGAGAAGAAATTAACTTTGATGCTAAACATTAGTGAAATTTCTACGGAAATTTCTGACAGACAATTATAAAAATAATAACAAGATGTTGTTTTGTTTAGCAACAATTTTCCGTATTATGTATGTTTCAAAGAAACAAACAGATAGATAAGCTATATGTCAATTTGCAGATTGTCCTCCTTAATATAATGCATTCAAATAGATTTAAAAATAAAACGAATTTAAAAATATATCAAATGTATATAAAGATATATATATACATATATTATGTGAATACAATGTTCGTATCAACTAATAGAGTTATACTTTACTTTTATTTATTTCGTAATTTATGCCTTTCGGCTTCGGATGAGATTTGGTTTACATTACTTATTTTCATTGGAATACATTTCTTATTCTCATTCATTCTTTCCAAGTAGCAAGCACATGTCATTTTGATATTTCAAATTGGTCATTCACTCACTATTCTTGACATCACGAGTTGACCTTTCTATGACGTAAAATTGACGGTCTAATGTCACAGATTCTTGACTAGTCTTGACATCATGTACCGCATTTTGACGTCAATATACCATATTTTGGCGTCTTTTTCTTAGTATAATAATGTATTTAATAGCGTTGTCGAATAAATTAGATTAATCGATTCGGGAGCATCATTGAACAATTACAGCCATTCTATTCTTCAGAGGAATCTCGGATCGATTAAACTGTTTTATTTGAAAAATAAAACGCTGGAAAACACAAATATGGTAAGAAAATAGGTCACAAGTTTTATATTTGTTATTATTATTTTATTTAAACATAAATAAAAACTTACTTTTAATATCATATAAAATTTCAACAAATAAAATGTCTTACATTGCCTACGTTTTATAAAAATATATTTTGCCAATCAATTGTATCATAAAAAAATGTGTATATTTTTTGATACTTTAATTACACTCGATTGATATAGTAGCTAATATTTTTACTGTGCACTAATTTAATGAACATTTGAATGGTTAAGCAACATGAGTCGTGTACAGATAAACGAAAGAAAAATTGTTAAAGTCTGATCGCGAAAATCATTTATATAAAAAATTTTAAAAGATTTTTTTATAGGATCGATGTACTAACTAATAACATTAATAATAAAATAATCGTCAGTTCATGACTGAAATATGACGTCAAAATAATTTTATATCAAGACGTTAATATAAAGTCATATAGCAAATTAGTCATTTTGATGATATATGACAAAATATGACCAGTTTGGAACGTCAAAATGGCATGTACCTGTACTGCCTGGATTCCATTCTCATTTTATCTTTGTCTCTTCTCTTAATCATTTCTAATCATTTCCTTATAATCTCTACTACCTATCTTAGTTATCTTGCCTTCTTTTCTTGCTTGTAATTTCATCATTCTTCTTCTTTTTCGTCTTTGCTTTTTTCTGTGCTCTGTTCACTATTTCTTTTCTTCTTGTCTCCTATTAGCTTCTCATTTTTAGATTCATCTTCTTTCCTCCTTCTTATTCTACTGATTTTTCTCTTTTACTCTTGGTTCTTTCTCTTTTCTGTGCTTCTTCTGTATAATTCTCTTTTTCTACCTTCCTTTACTGTTTCTTTATCGCTGCTTTTTCTCACTCTTTTCTGCTTATAATTCCTCACTTCCTCTTCTCTTTCTTTCTCTTCTTTACTTTCTTCTATACCGCTATACACTATCCTATTCTCCTTATTTCCTTAAACATTTTAATGCTCCTGATATTTCTATTCCATTCTAATATTCTTAAAATCTAAAATCTAACATTTAAAATTCTAAATTTAAATCTGAATTCTAAAATCTAGAAACTTAAGTCTAATATCTCTAAAGCTATCAACCGAAAGTCCATCAGGACCAGAATACAAAATATAAATTCAAATCAAAATCGAAACAAAATACAAATTCGAAATCAAAATTAAATAAAATATAAAATCACAATTAAAATCAGAAATATAAACCAAATAAAATAAAATAAAATACACTTAACATAACTTCCTTCTTAACTACTTAATATCATATCATATACTAATTAGGTGCATAATGCATATAACCAATTCTTTTCCCTTCGTAATAGATTTATAAAAAAATAGTTAAAGCAAATGAATAACAAGAGTATTTACATAACTTAAACATATTTTTATTTACAAAAAGATATTTACAAAAATTTTAAAAGAAATCCCTACAAATACACTCACTTAAAAAAATTTCTAATATCAATTTAAATATAATATCGAGTGTAATTAGATGATTATTGATGATGATTGATTCGCAACGATACGAATTGAAAAAAAGAATCGCTTTTGTCAGAGGTGTTTCAGATGCGGTAATCGCGCATAATTCGCCGCACGTATAATTGCCAGGTTTCATTGTCTTAATGTAAAACCAGCTTTGGTGCCAGATCCGCTTTAAGAAAATTAACATAAAAGAGATGGCGGATAATCTGCTCGTATGTATATTAGTATATTTTTCGCGCGCGGAAAATTTCTCATAATAAGCTGGACATGTTTCAACTGAGGAACAGCTGGGGAGGGCTCGGGCGGGTTCGGGAGCGCTCGGGCCAGCTCGGGAGCGCTCGGGCCTAGTCGGGTGCGTTCGGCGACGCGCGCCAGCCCGATCTCGCCGCTTGAATAATCGTTTGTCAGTTCGCGAACAGCCGTGCGTTAGCACAGTTCGGTTCTCACTTACGGTGTTTCGAGTACGGGCCGAGTGATCGCTTCCGACCGCCATTTCGCCGTCGTAGCATGTGCCCACTAGTCCGGAATCACGTATACTACTTAGCGCATCGTCAATCGTGCAATAAACTCGTCTCTTACGGCTACCGTTAGACAGATAGCCACATCCCCGCGATCCTCACTTTCGCGTTCTCGCGATAAAGAAATAGTCTCGCTTCTTTTTGACTCATCGCGCCTTTCGAGAGTGTTCGGATGATCGCGTGTGCGGTGATAGTATGATCTCTTGGATATTTCAGTGAGTTCTCGTAGCGAGCCCCTATACCGGGTGGCCGAGTCGACCGCGCGCTCGAAGTAACGGCTCGTTCCTTCGATCTATCGCTAACGGCTGTGCGCGGCGATAAAAAAGGGAGATAGAGAAAGTCGAGAGTCGGGCCGATACGACAACCAGAATCGTGGACGAGGGGGAGAAGGAAAGGGCGCGCAGTGTTTGTTCAAAGGATCGACTGATTTCCGAGAAGAGGACTCGACGGTTGTCACCATGAGCTGCTGCACCAGTGCGCCTATGGTTACGCAGACCTGCGAGACCCTTGTCAGCAAGTGCGAGATCCCAATCATCGATCTCGCTCATATGGGTGAGCATATGGAGTTTTTCCTTTTTTTTTTGAAATTCGTATGCTTCGCGCGCGTGCGCGATTTCCGGCGAGAGACGCCGGCAGCAACCGTCGACGTATTCGCTTCGCGCAATTCGATCGTAAAACTGGGCCCCGCATCCACGGCCCGACCCCTGTTTCGCCGGGAACGGCATTTCGAGATTTGTTTACGAGCGATAAACGGTTATTCCCGCTCGCGGGTCGTAAAGCGATCGCGGAATGCGAAGTTGGCTTCGGCCTCGGCACGCGAAACATGTCGTTGCTGGGTGTCGCAAAGTCGGTCATAGGTCGTCTCCCCGATGACAAAATTAACGTAGCGTGGCAAAACTAGACTGTGATGGTACCTCGAAATTCTGTGCGGCAAACGCAGGGAACGCGTAACGCTTCTAACGCATTTGACAGTTCGAGATTCGTGCCAAGAGTCGCGCGTATTGTTGCTTGAATATATCTCCGATCGGAACCTTGAACATCAATTCGTCTAATAATGCATTGTTATCAATAATCAGTATAGTAATATTTCATTAAATTGACAGTAATATTTGTGACAAAAACCTTGGGCAAGAAATTAATACCGTAACGACCATAAACCTAAATTGAAATCATTGCTAAATGTATGTGTATGTGTGTGTGATAGATGTTAGTATTTTTTATTAATACTCCGACTTTGTACTCTGAAATCGCCTTACTTTTTTATATCATTGTTAGGTTTATTAATAATTTTTCAATTTGCACTTTGAAACCAGAAATCATTGTTAGGTTTATTAATAACTTTTCAATTTGCACTTTGAAATCAGAAATATATATGTTTCGCATCGTGAAAAAAAAAATTTTATCTTTTTTATAGGAGGTACATATATATATATATATATATATATATATATATATATATATATATATACATACATATATATATATATATCGAACCTTATGATTCAACTTTATTTTATTTTATTTGTCACAATCTTTATCTAGAAATCTAGTGAATGATTCAATTATTGGCATATCGCGTATCGTAACATATATTTGTGCTACGATAAGATCTCAGGTTTTCGACAAAGTTTGAATGACGTGTATTTGTCAGTTTTTACATAAAATCCATTTGTTTTTTATTTTACAGCAGGAACATCTATAATTATAGCAGCTCATGTAAACGATTTTTCATAATTACGTGATAAAATAAGTAGCATTTATTTATTGTCACATCTAATAAAAATTCCAATCAATCCATAATTATATCACTACTTGCTTTAAGCACATTTTATTCATTATAAACCGGTATATTTGCAATGTTTTTTTAACATATTTTCAGAATTATTCTCAGATTTCAATATATTTTCAAAGGTAAATTTTATTTTATCACTTTAGACTTAATTTAATTTCGAAATATTATACAAATGGTACATCTCTCTTAATAATTAGCGAGATATGCTATCGGAAATCGTCGTAAATAAATCTAAATAATCTTAACATTTTTTATTAGTCGAATATTTTCTTCTTTTTTTACAATAAGCTCGTTTGCGGACATCAGCTGACTCGGTTGAGCGAGTTTTGAAATGACCGAAATATACCATTTCGCGTCTCGGGGCGACAGTAATACGTCGGCAGTAGTAGGACACCCTGTATAAACGTTCGAGGGCGCCAAGGGAGGGGCCCTTCTTTGTGAGAGGGGCTCTGACCTCAACGGATCGTCGGACTCGCGGTAGGCGCCTCCGGTTGCCGTTGGCTGGTTTGTCTGGCTAGGTGCCTGGCCTCGTTGCCAAGCAGCCGTAAAACCGTCGTCTTTCTTTCTTTCTTTCTTTCTCGAATCCTCGAAATTCCATGCGACACGAACACCAGGTCCGCGACGTGGTGCATCATCCTTTCGGATTCGGGCAAACTCGCTCGCTTCGATGCTCTTGAATTTTAGCTCCGCGAGATTCCAAGTTAAATCTTGGATTCCAAATTAAATTTAACCAATTTAATCGAGACGAATAAAACACGCTTTATGTTATTTAATCATATTATGTAGAAATTAATTATAACACACAAATGTATCGACTTGCGGACTGATCTCATGTGCAAAGTTTACCGAGAAAACAACGTTAATTGGATTAATTTCCACGGCAAAAATGTTACGCTAAAATGTTAGAACAACATCCTGATCTTGTTTAGCTGAGTAATTATTGCGAGGAATTTACAGTGCAACGTAATGTTATTTTCTCAACAATCGGGTTCTTCTTTATTTTCTTTTCATTCTTTCTCGCTTTTATGTATTGTAGTGTATATTTTTCGAGACAGTTATACGTTAAATATTCCTATAAAGAGGCAAGAGTCCTTGGGCGTGAAAAATTGTCTTTTTTCCTTCCTCGTCGCGAGTTGCCGTTAATGGACAGCGTGGCGATTGTATACGAAAGTAGCATATAAAGTCGCACACACAATTGAGTAAACACGCGATGAGTCGACTTAGAGCTACTCATTAAGCACCATTTCACGAAGCGAGAATTTTAAACAGCAACATGCAAGTGATTCATTGAGAAAAATCCTCCTAATATTCCTATAATTTTCGATTATTTTTATTATCGTCAGATGTTATCACAAAATAAAATGCGTATACACAGAAAAAAAGGACATTTTTGTTTTGAGAAAATATGTTTAGTTTTAAAATAGAAATCTTGAAACGAGATTATATTGCATTAATTAAAGAAAAATATAATTGCTTGAATAATTGCCTACTGGAATGAAGCCATTTTATGTAATTGAATCGAGAAAAATATATTCTTATGATTTAAGATTTAATTTTCTTGAATGGAAAAGAAACAATGTTAGATAGAAAATAACATTTTTAAATCAAAGATTATATTTCCTTAAAGTAGAATTAAATAATTATACATCTTGAGGTGACAATTACAATATTAAAATAAGATTATAACATTGTTGAAATTTAAAATTATTAAATTCTTCTAAGAGAAGATTATAAATTGTCGCGTGTATACGAAACAATGAACGCGTTAGTTTAAGTATATAAGTTTTGATTTGACACTTTTTTTCTGTGTATGTTCAATAATTATTTTGGAATTTTCGATAATATAAATTGCAGGGTCAATTATGCATCATTGGAAAATACCATTTCTAGTGAAGCTCTCGGAATTCTAAGTCGACCAGTAATAGAATCTAACCGGATATATCTGAGCTAAAAATAATGTCCCACTTTTACCTAATATGCACCAAATTTCAAGCGAAACGTTATACATTAAAATTACACAGAAAAAAAGGACATTCTTGTTTTGAAAATATATTTAGTTTTAACATGGAAATCTTGAAACGAGATTATATTGCATTAATTAAGGAAAAATATAATTGCTTACTTAAATGAAGTCATTTTATACAGTTCAATTAAGAAAAATATATTCTTATGATTTAAGATTTAATTTTTTTGAATCGAAAAGAAACAATGTTGAATAGAAAATAACACTTTAAATCAAAGATTATAATTTTCCTAAAGTAGAATTAAATAATTATATATTCTTGAGGTGAAAATTACAATATTAAAATAAGATATTGTAATATTATATAATTATAATATTATAATATCTTATTTTATTAGATATTATAATGTTATATAAATTGTTGAAATTTAAAATTATTAAATTCTAAGAAGATTATAAATTGTTGCGTATATACGAAACAATGAACGCATTAGTTTAAGTATATAAGTTTTGATTTGACATTTATTTTTTTTCTGTGTAACGCGTCTTCTTATTAAATTATATAAAAATACAAGTTAACAAATCATGTATCTGTCATAATGTTCGTTGCCATTTAAATATCACGCGTTCTGCCCAATCGATATTTACGCATTACATCTTGATCACCTATAATTTAACAATTACGTACGTTCTATAATCTATAGATATATTTAAGTACATCGAGAAATACCATTCTCCTCGAAATACCATTCGTGTATATAATATGTTCCGAGTATAAATTTTTCCGCGATGTAAAAAATTTATACTATTTATACTATTTATACTATTATTTCGATCATTAAATATTTATTCCATTTTTCTTCTCATCGCTTTGCAATGTGATCATTAATTTATTTTGCCACATGATTACACATCGTTGCACAGTTTCCTTTTTATCTTTTTTGGTGTTCGGTACCGATATTTTTAAATATTTTTTAGGTATCATCACGCGTGTTCTATCATTCACGATAAGAGTCTCGCTAATGCTATCGCGTGCGAAACAAAAATGGAACACCCGTGCGTGCGGCCGAAAGTTTGCACGCGTCTTAAGTAGCAATTTAAGGCAATGTAACACGGTGGCACGCACGCCAATAAAATATCTCCGCGACGGTGTTAATAATGATTCGTGAGCGCGCCGGAGAGTTGGAGATATAATGGTCCGCGTGTATAGTTAGCGAGATTGCGTGAGAGAAAAGCATCGCGGTATTTATGCGCATCTCGATATCTGACCGCGATCTCTCGTTAACGCGTGTCTTACGCTCCATTTTTCCACGTTTGCATTCTTCGGATTATTTCATATATTTCCGTATACGCGAAAAATTTCTTTCCCCAGAAATGTATTAATAATTTATAGAGATAGCAATTAATATTCTATATATTTTTTTATTTCATCTTCTATATTATTTTTCCTATAATTTTTATTTTAGCCTATTTTCACGTAATTACAGTTTATATAAGTTGTTCAATTTCTTATTGTTATTTATTATATCGTATTAAAAAAAATTTAAGTATCACATATTTTAATTTATTTATGTAAATTAAAATAATTATAGAGGAAAAATAATATAAAAAATTGCATAGAAATTTAATTTATTCGCATACATTTTCATCCAATTAATTTCCAATTTATTCCATTTCGTTGAATGCTCTTAAAGAATTTAATAACAGATTATCTTGTACATTGGAGGGAGGAGGTTACCGCTTTCCTTTATTTCATTGTCATATCTGTACGTTGATAATTCGCACACGTCATATATGTACACGCGTCAGGCTAATGACCATGCCAGCTGGATTGCGAAATTTTGATGCGATAGGCAAGACCTCGAGGCCTACGAAATTTGCGCTGACACGATAGGGTAGCTGTGGCAAGTAGAAATATGAGACAACGAGAACGCGAAACGTGTGTGTTTGAAGTTGCGGGATTGTAGCTACAAGCTACGTGTAAGATTGCAAGATTGTTGATATCTCGATGTCAGACGAATATGAATATGTGCACGTTAAGCACGAGACGGACTCGAGAGATATCTGTGAGAACGCGAGTATTTTATACGATCGAAAATGTCAATGAAGCAGATATTAATGAGAGATAATAAAAATGTATGAGAGACGCAATATTCGCGATCCGGCTTAAAAATTCTGAATTTTTTAGAGATGTAAAAAATTACAGACGAAAAAAACACAAATGCTAAAGTTCGCTGGTTTTTTTTATTCTTGTGATTTAGAGAAGCTCCATACTTAATCGGCGTGAATCTCAAAATGAAATCACAAAGAAAAGATACGCGAAAATTGCAAAACATCCTATTGCGCGCGATGACGTCGAAAACTCGACCTTGGCATCGTTGAATTGATAACGCACATTGGAAAAAAAAATATTGCGATTTCGCCTCGTTTCGCAAGTCTTAACTTTGCACTCGCGTAGGAGATTGTGCGAATATTAAATGACAAAAAACCCGCCGGAAATTGCATTATAGGGAGTAAAGCGAATAGAAAGAAAACTTCCGATCGCTACATATCCGTTTAAACACACACACACACACGTACACAAGCGCGATTCAAAATAAAATCTTGACGTGCGATTTATTCGTGCAACGAATTAAAAGGAGCCACGTCGCAAAATCAGCTGTTAAATACGTGAAGACGTAAATCGACGCGACCACGATGCACTTTGAATTATCGAACGTCGAGATCTTTCCTTATCGCCTTCGCTATATCTAAAATTGTTTTTCCTCTCGCCTATGAAGATAACTCCTCGCGGCTTTTCACGCATCGATCACGCACCGGGAAAACTTCCACGAAACGCGGTCTCTTCGCCAACGAATACTTCGAAATTCATAGAACTTACGAAACGCGGAGATAAAACTCGTTTATGTAATTTTCATGAGTTTATTCATTCTCTTTTTCACGAGCCTATGCAACGCAAACATTTAAATATGACGGATGCAAAACAATATTAGCAGATGCTGATCAGAATCTCTGAATTTAATTATAAGCGTATATATTTATAATTTTATGCGCTGCATATCTCAATGTATGATTCTGTCTCGTATATGCGTACTTTGCTGTCTCTCTCTCTCTCAGTTTTTTGCGTATTACATTATACATAACATCATAAATGGAACTTTTTTTGCTGAATTTTATCACAAATTATAGGCCGTTTAAAGTAATGTTAAGGAAATTCCAAGAAACTGTATTAACATTATATCAGATGGATCATTAATTTACACATGGAATATATACGTGAAATTAAATAATAATGACGCCACATATTAAAAAGAAAATCGATTAATTCGAATAAACGCGGTTAATCGATTATCATTTTTTTAGGAAGTATTCAAGTATTTGATTCAAATATGATTTGTGTGACTTGAATATTTAAATTAATTATATTTCAATTAAAGGAATGTAATAAAAAATGTTAATTGAAAACGCATTTAGCCAAGTTAATGACTGTTTTTTCTCAGTACAATGAATCGAATACTCCGTCTATCAACAAAAATATATTTGTATAGGTAATGATGTGTCGCACTTGTGCTAATGGACTATATCGCGCACCTTTAGAGTCGATGTCCGGTAACGGTGTATTCGATCGCTAGGCGAAAGTATCAGGGGGCAGTCTGTCGCTACCAGGAGAAACTCTAAGAAATATTTTCTCTTATTCAATTGTATACATACACCCTAGAAACGAACATCTTTACAGAGTCTTTAACTATATCTATTATGTATCGGTGTAGCAAGATACACGAGCCTTGTTTGTACGTTAAAAATTTGTTTCACGTCACACATCAACCTTGTATATCCCCCTTACTTTCGTATCGTATTCTTGGTAGCGCATATTCTTCTTTTCCTCATGAAATCGTGCTTTCTGCGATGATTGCGTATCAGCACGCATACTTTAAAGTCAAATCAAACGGCACTTAATCAAATTTATTCATTCGATAATTCTATTTTAAAAGCTGTAAAAACATTTTGAAACATTTATTGAAACAATAATTAATTAATTATGGTTTTGACTTTCTTTTTTTAGAGAAAATATCGAATGGTACTGGATTTTTCGAAATCATTATCTGTCAATGAGAAGAAATGTCAATCCGAGCGATATTTAATTATTGAAAGATTAATATTTAAAAGCGAGGGATAAAAACTCTTTGATCTCACAGACAGTATATTTCATTCGAAATATACAAGGAAGAGAACGTGCTTTCACAAATAAAGTACCAAAATAATTCTTTGAGTCTTATCCCCGATATAGCTCATGAATGATCCTATAAACCAATCTTTCATTGTTGCAGTTCGATTGTATATATTTCTGCCACGTGGTAAGATGAGTTTCATATCATATTTCATATCATTTTTTTGTAAGCACAATCGAGACGAATAGATTAGATAATAATTTAAGTATCATCAGGTGATTGTTTATGGGATTTGATCGAGAGATTAGCCACATTTAAGGTCCGTTTTGAAAAATCGATGTTTCTCTTATTGTTTCGTGATATTAATACGATTTTTCTGTCGGTTTTGACTCTTTCATCTTTCGCACAAGGCGATTTTGGCGCTGTGCCCGTAATCGATGTTATATATCTCGAGGAAACGAAAGTCTTCTGCCGACTTTCTGTCGTCATCGTGACGTCGCGGTGTCGCCAAAATAGCGTACAAAGTAGACAGAGTGAACGTCCGGCAGACGTCCGAAATACGTCGAAAAGTTTATTAAAATATTGCATCACATTCAATACTTTTGTCGACAAAGAAATCAGTCTAAGCATGTCTAAAAAAGTCGCATTCACAATAAAAGATAAAAAATGATATCTCCTTTAATATTACATAGTTTTTAATTAATTATTTATATTGTTTAATTAATTATTTATATTTATTTAAAAGAATATAATTATAAACGAGAATAATAAAAATAATAATAAGTAGAATAATAAAATAATAATAAAATAATAGAATAATAAAAGTAATAATAAAAACGAGAAAATAAAAATAATAATGAAAGGATATAAATATAAACGAGAATAATTATTTGAGAAAGGAAAATTAAAATACCGTATGCGTTGCAGGATTAAAGATGACATTTCCTAGCTATATATATTATCAATATTTATTAGAAAAATTAAAGTAAAAAAATTCCAAACTTTTTCATTAATTACGATCGATTAAATCGATCCATTAAAAAAAAATACGCGAAAAATTCTAAACGACTTTGTTGTTGAGGAGCTGAAGATAATTGTGCCGAGAGTGCCTACCCGGAAACGAAAATTAATCTAAGGGAATATTAGCCGAGTACTACGTTCGTAATAATTGTCAGTGTCATGTGATAAGAGCGCGTGCAGAGTATAAATCTGCAGTTTGTTTCTCTCCTCATCGCTCATGGACGGATCTCGTTACGACACGAAAGGCTCGGGGACGATGGCTTTCTCGAGAATCATGACCTCGCGTTATGATTCCAAGGCTTGCGCGCCGTTAACCATTTTTTGATTTTCGCTCACCTAAATCGACAACGTAACATCACACAACGCAGATGATTCAACGTTATTTCCCACGCGCGCGTTTGTTTTTATTGACTTTTGATTAACGCATAGTAAAAATCGAAATTGCTTCTTATGAATGCATATGCAAAAATAATCAGCATTTTCTATATTTCAATATATAATTAATAATTAATAATTAATAATAATAATAATAATTTCCTATTCGACATAATAATATTATGAAAATGTATTAAATAAGAGAGCATTATTATTATGCATTTATATGTGTTATAACGATATGGTAGCATGAATGCAATACAGCTATATTTTCATTATCAAGTATTAATAAAAAGTAAAAAAATAAGAAATTAAACACCATTTAATTGTAATTATGAATTATAATTACAATTCCATGTATATATGTGTATAATATAAATATCATTTATAAATAAGACAGAAAGATGAGAGCCTATCTGCCGGTTTTGTTTTTATTTCACTATCACGATATCTCGGTCTCTCAACGTTCAATGAACGCTCATTGAGCGAAAGGCATAATCGATTGATCATCAGTGCAGCTGACATCGGTGTCGCGTATAGCTTCGAAAGAAAGAAAGAGAAGAGAGCCGAGAAACTTAATATTAAATACCTTAACGCTTCCTTAATCCTTCAAATGACACAATCAGCACAGTTGTAATCTTCCGTGAAATCTGAAACCTCTCATTTACACACGATATGTTAAATTGATAAATTTATCGCGCTTGATGATTGCGACAATAAATAAAAGTTGACATCATCCTGCATTTTTGGAGAACATTAAGCTAATCGATTGTGCTTAAGTATTTTCAAAAATTAAGTCAATGAAATCAATTTTTTTCTCGAAAATAAATATATAAAAAACAGTAACTTCTTCCTGCATATTCTTCATTTTCTCTCTGTACTATATTTACGTTTCTTGTGATCATAGGTACAGAGAGATGCCCCCAGAAGGGAGTCGTAAAGCAGGTGGCCTCGAAACTGCTAAGGGCGCTGTCCGAGAAAGGATTGGCCTTGCTCGTCAACCACGGCATTCCAGAGTGTAAGGTACGACGTGAACGAGGTAGAGGTTCCCTTGCGTGCGAAAATGATTAAGTCTCGAGGCTTCCTTTAATTGATCAGGCGCCGGTATTGCCGGGTCTTGCCGATTTCCATCGCTATAAATGTGGACGATATCACGCGCTCTCGCAATTTAATATCGTGACGGATAATTTGGCACACCGATCGAAAGTGGGTCGATTAAACTCGTGGCGTTTTTATAACGTTAAAATGAACGGTATTATAAAGAAAAAATATGGCAAAAAAATAACAAATTGTCTTGTGCAAATATATTTGAGGATATTAACTGTTTGAGATCTTTTTAAAGGAGAAAGAAATTTTCGTCGCACTAAAAATTATACATTTCCTCACTTTAATCATAATTTTTAGTCTTAATTGGATTATCTTTATGATTTTTAATTTTAATAGGAATCTGCAAATATTAGTTAAAATAATTAAAGTGTGATAAGAAACGCGATATATCAAAGTTGAATTGTTTGTAATGTTACTTTGATGAAAGGGAGAATTGGTCGCAGAGAGCCATCGTAATTTCATGGAATTCAATAACATCAGTAATTAATAATTTTCTTCTTTAAATGACAGAGAAATTTCTATAAATGAAATATTCTTTTATAAAATTTTACGAAGAAATTTTCGTCGCATTAAAAAAACGCATTTGCTCGCTTTAATCATAATTTTTATTCGCAATTGGATTATCTTTGATGATTTTTAATCTTAATTGGAATCTACAAATATAAGTCAAAATAATTAAAGTGTGATAAAAAACGTGATTTATCAAAGTTGAATTGTCTGTAATGTTACTTTGACGTAAGGGAGAATATATATGTGACAGAGAGCTCTTGTAATTTCATGGAATTCAATGACATCAATAATAATTTATTATTATTATATATAATATTATTATAAAATAATAATATTATTATAAAATATTATTATAAAATTATTAATAATTTATTATCAATAATTTTTTTCTTTAAATGATAGAGAAATTTCTATAAATGAAATACTCTTATAAAATTTTACACTGATATAATAGTTGTTCTCTCTTTTATTATCGAACATGCTTCGATATCTCGAGCATATTGACTAGAGAATGGTCGAGTTTTTTTTTTCAAGGGCCCACGATAAATACTATTGCTCGCGATGACCTTGGCATTTGTACGTCGTTATCGGAAACTTGCGGGCGATATCGCGATACGGTATGTTGCAGTTTCGCGCAATAATTTGACTTGTGACTTATACGGATTTATATATAAAACCGGATTTATATATGACGTACATATGTCTCGATGAGTAACAGGACTACGTGTCGAGAATAATATAATAATATTATTCTCGTTTGTAACGGAAAACATGTGTACAAAATGCGTACGATCGAATCAAAATAAGACGATTTTTTTCAAGGATAGTTATATAAAAGTTGCCAAGTGTGTGAAACTGCGAGATCTTAATTCAGTCTTTGAGTACTAATCAGCGTAAACCAGAAGGTTCATTAAAGCATGAATAATCGCTTATCGCAAAGTAAATGCACATGATGACGATTCTGAGATCATTAAATAACATGCATCTCATATTTGACAATTATTTTAAGAACTCGATTTTTATCAATCGATAACGCCTAAATTATATTATAATAATATAAGTATTTCAATATTGTTTCTAGAGGGAAAGAAAAATTAAAGAATTAAATCTTATCGAAAATGAAATTAATTTGATTCTATCTCTTGTTTTATTTTGACATATCTTGATTGATATTTTTTCGACGATAAGGTAAGGTTTTGAAATTTATCAGTAATTTTCCAAATCATGGACCCATGTATCTTCTATAATTTTCCTAGAGATTGTTAGTATAGTTTGCAATAAAACGATAAATTGTAGTTTTTACAATAATAAGTCGTGGAATATATTAGAATAAAACTATGCTTATTATATGACAATATACTTTGTTCTGCATTAGTTTCCATTTCCAGCATTAAAATAGATCGCGGATAAGCGACACACACACACGCACACATACACGACACTCGCGCATGCAATGATATTTCGCAGAATTAGAAGAGCGATCATTCTCGGTTTTTTCCTTTGCGACGGTTCTTTTCTAACATTACATAACGAAATCATGCAATATTACAGCATCGATAGTGCTAGAACACACGTTGCATGTGTACTCGATCATCCTCGTAAAAATATGTTTGTAAGAAAATCGTCGCGGCGTCACATGTGACATCTGACCCATACGTCAGCGTGTGTGAATCATTCCTTGGCCTCTTATTCAGATACCCCTTTTAAAAAATTACCTTGTAATTCGAGAGATTATAAACTATGCAAACACGAATGTATCGTGTTTATGCAATGTAAAGTCTTATCTCTAAAATGTATATATTTATCTAAATACACGTGTAATCGGTATTTAAAAAATTGTAAATATGCAATTAAGAAAACAAGAGATCCAATTAAATTTTCATTAAGAAAATTTTGACTCAATCAAGCAATTCTTGCGATTCATTTTAAATTATTAAATATACATTAAAGATTAAATTATTCATGTGAAAAGCATTTAGAAAAAGTTTATAAAAAACTGCTTACAGATACTGTTTGCTCATTTCATATTAAATGTTTGTACAAATGTGACGATGGAGAAACATATGGCAAATTGAGACTTGTGATATATTTTTCTTTACGAAAATATTTTTTTGAAACGCAATTTTTTTCCATGCGGTTTATTCCCGGTCGACGAGCGAAATTTTTTTTTATTAGGTAGTATATATAATATTTAATTCGCTATTCGTAAAATTGTTTATTTTCGATTTACCGGAATTATATGGATGTGTGTACATTTACAGTATCTCTAAGTGTTACGCATTATCTTTGAAAGAATATCATGAAGTGTGAAAGATGCGATTATAGATATTGAGATATGAGATACGCGAAAGAAAAATTTCCATTTTCTCATGGAGTGATAATTTTTGTTGAAGGCAAATTTTCTTATCATTACGTAAATATTCATTTTTGCGTTGCGTTTTCAATAACAGATGTGAAAACGCGCACGAAAAGACTTTATACATTGTCGCTTTGGCTTCGTCAAAATTGTGTGTTCCATATTTTTATAGATGAAGGCTGCTTACAGAGCTCTAGATACATTTTGCGAGCTACCAGATGAAACGCGAGCAAAATACGAGCGCGTTTCGCCAGATAATCACGGTTACATTAAACCAGGCATGGAAAAGTAAGTTGAAAGATTTGCAAATTATTTCCGTAATTTATTGCAATTCAACTTGATGAATGTTCTATTAACCGACTGCTATTTGTAATATGATGATAGTACAAAAGACAAGATATATCATTTGAATTTAATCTATGATAAAACTCCTCAAAATAATTTAAAATTATTTAAAATAATTATATTAACCGTACGCTGCTGAAATTACTTAATGAAAGAATCATAGAAAATAGAATTATATTTAATTATATTATATTATATTATAATTATGTAATTATAAATATCAATATATTATGTATTGTGTATATATTTAATGTTACCCTAAAATGCAAGCGAGAGATTATATGTGTATTTATAAATGAATCTGTATTTTAAATATTCTTTTAGTGTTGCATATGTTTTTTTAAGATTTTTTTAATGATTTGTAAACATTGTTTCAATCAAGTTTTCACATACATGTTTGTTTTTATAGTTTCTAATCTAATTGTCTTATGCAATTAGATTTTCAGACGAGATGGAATTCCGTCACGCATTCAATGTAACCGGATATGAAGGAACTCTGCCGGAGGATGAGGTTCATGGATTTAGATCAGCAGTAGAGGAATTGGCACGCGATTTCAAGCAATTGGCCTCCATGCTTCTTACTGTAATAATTCTTGATTTATTATATTTCATTCTCTCGTTACTATTAATTAAATATATTCTCAAATATATTTTATTATACTTTACTTTTTCGGGTGCATATATCTCTTTTCATTATGAATTTAACATTCTTAGAGATTCACTCTATTATTTTATCTTTCCCTGGAAATACTCCTTTACTTCATCGTTATCTATCTATTTTCTCACACTCAAGGAAGATCCATTCCACGCTCTTGACCTTTGAACGGAAGTATATTGTAATTTTCAACAAGATTTCATAAGACTCGCGATAATAAAATCTAATCTGTACGGAAGAACCAATAAACATTGAAAAGTCCCGTTCGTGTTGCAGGCTCTGTCTGTGGGTTTGGAACAGTCCCACGACTTCCTGTTGTCCAAGCACGCGCATATGCTCGGCCCTGGCAACGCGTCCACCCTACGTCTTCTTTACTATCCGCCACTCGGTGCACCGGTACAAGGCCTGACCCGATGCGGCGCCCACTGTGACTATGGCACTTTCACTTTGTTGGCGCAAGTATGCAGATTGCAGCATTACATTGCATGCTTGAAGCTCGATACTTAATATAGCCGTCTCGTCATCGAAGAGAGATGATTACACGATCGTAAATCATATTGTACAAAATACATATATTTTCTACATTTCACGTCGGAAAAAATGTCATAAATGTTATGTATCTTTATAATTTCGTCAAAACTGAGAGATATCTCGACACGTTTGTTCGTACAATACAACGCACAATCATTTTGTGATAAGCAATTCCACACCGTTAAAATATGAAAATATTTAGGAGAGAAAAAGACATATTAAGCACGTGTGTGTGTTAAAAGATAACGAATAATTATTAAACATTAAAATAAAGATAATTGCACACGTGATACATATGTAATATGAAGACTCCGATTAAGAAATATGAAATGTAAAGTCAATATAAAAGTAATGTTATATTATGTATACATATATATACAAATTGTGTCTACTTTTAATATCATTGTAATTATGTTCAATAATTTATTTATAACAATAAAATGTTTTTCAAGGATTGCGAAGGCGGTCTTGAAATACAAATTCCACATGGGAACGATGGAGAACGATGGGCTAGAGTGGGCCATCTGCCAGGCGCCATATTGGTGAATACTGGCGAACTACTGGCGCATTGGACTAATGAACAGCTTCCAGCACTTAGACATCGCGTCGTTATGCCAGAACACTGTGGTCGCGGTCGTCACTCCGTCGCCTTTTTTGTACACCCGGACGATAATGTCCCCATCGAACCGTTAGAGACAAAGATCACTACAGCCAACCAGGAATCGATCCCTTGCCGTCTCCAAAAGAAGAAACGTAGCGTTCTCTCGGCGTATCAGCATCTTCAACGACGATTTCGCGAAACTTATGCATCTTAATATACTCCACGTGATTTCCCCGGATATCTTGTTAAGGTGATCTATATTGCCAAACTAAAATTAAAAATTAAATTTTCACAGACTCATTGAATTGGAGTAAAGATGTAACTTTGCGGAAATTTTAAAGAAATTTAATCTTATATTATTGAAAATTGCGGACAGTGAAAGATTACAGCAGATTACTTTTCAAAATTTGATTGACATATATTGTTATTGCATATCACTTGAGACATATTGTAAAAGAAAAAAAATTTAAAGAATGCACATAATGTTCATTCCACTTAACGCAAGCAGAGCAAAATTGATTTTAATTCTGACAAATTTAAACAGTATAACTTATTCGTCTTAATTTCATAAGATGCATTCAAGAATTTGATATTTTCCATATAAAGCGAAATTACTATAGACTGTATGAGTAAAAGATGTAAAAAGAATCGAAAGAAAAGATTCTCTCAGGCAATAATAAATAAAAATTTGTACTTAATTCAAGAATATCTCATTTTCTTAATGGGTAAGCAAGGCAATGACTGTGAAACTCTATGATCATGTTTTACCTGATTTAGTTTTATAATTTTTAAGATTAAAATCCAGGATCCCAATCAGTCTCTTGCGATTTCTGACCTATTTCATAACAAACGAGAATATCTCCAGGTTTGAAAGACAATGTAGGATCTTCAAATCTCAAACCACATTCTACATTAGTCTTGATGGTATCTGTTTCATTTTTCATATGTCTCATCGATGCCAATTTTCCTAAAAGATAAATATTATTTCAGCTTTATCTGTTTTTCTCCTCTCTTTTCCTCACTTTCGATCTTTTACAATTTTCAGTCAGATATTGTCTTTTACCAGTATAGAGAGTCTCCTGTTCACGTATTAATCGATACATTGCATTTCTTTTTAGACTGCCTTTAGTGCACCGACAACCTGCGACCTTTACTTTTTTTTTCTTTTCCGTGATTTCAAACTCTTGCAGTACGTTTGCTTCGCCTATAGACAGATTAAAAAATCAAAACGAGTTTATGGCAACAAATTTAGCCGACCTGCTTTGTTTATATTTTTTTCGTACCTATTATTTCTTCAGTATCTAACGACGGTAATTTAGTATTTATTTCCTTTTTAACATCGTCAATAAGTTTATATATTACATTATATGGACGGATCGATATATTTTTTTTATCAGCTTCTTGTTTCAAGTCTTTCGATATGCCCACATTAAAAGGATATATGATGGCTGTAAAGATTTCGCGTGATGTTGAGATTTATAAAAGGGAGATATTAGTCGATTTTTTATGAGATATATTCTTACCACTGAATGCGTCTGCTATTTGCAAATCTGTCTCTGTGATAGGTCCGACGCCGTAATGGACTACACTCAATCGACATTTGTCATCGCTTCCGTACGTATTAAAAACATCTAATATAGCTTCTACAGAACCGACAACGTCACCTTTTACGATAATATTGATTTTAGGTATACCATCAGGTTCTTCTACTTTAACAGGACTTGATAACTTGCGATATCTTCCAAGCAATCGTCTCTTTTCTCGAAGTTCCTTATATTCCTACAATAGTCAAATAATAAGATAAACAAGGTGACTTTAACATCTGTATCATAATATAAATTATACAAAGTTGTTAACAGAAATTTACTTTCAAATGTTCTTCATGCTTCTTATCTGCTGCAATCTTATGCTCCTGTGCTAGCTGCGTAGCTTTTTGAGCTTCTCTATATCGCATTACCATATGTACTCTCTTCTCGCTCTCAACTTCTAACACCTCATCTCCAGCAGAAGGTAAATCTCTCCAACCAATAACCTGCACTGCATCGGACAATTTAGCTTCCACAATTGGATTCCCGGAATGATCGAACATGGCTCTGACTTTAGCCCATACTAACCCACTCACTATTATTGAACAAAAAAGTAATCAAATATGTAAAATTTTAAACTATATTGTATATTCAAACTTGTAGAATGTTTGATACATTATTCGTTTTGAATTTATCTTATCGTATATTTGAAATTTAAAAAAAGAGCAGAAAAAAAATTTGTTTTTAAAAATAATTAACTTTTTCCGATAAAATTTATGCGTTATTCCTTTCTGAATTCTATACATATTTTTTTTTTTTAGATTGAAATACCCATTACCAAGAAATGCGCCTTTTCTCAAAGTGCCGCGTTGAATTAAAACTGTCGCTAATTTTCCGCGATGATGATCGACAGAGGATTCGATTATAACAGCTTCAACTAATCCTGTTGGATCGCCCTTTAATTCTATGAGCTCGGCTTGTAATGCTATAGCCTCTGTCAAAGTATTTATATTAGTCCCATGTAACGCCGAAATATTAACACATTGAATATCTCCACCTAATGCTTCTACCTGAATTTCCTGTTGTGCCAGCATATTTTGTGTTCTCATCTAAAATAGACATTATAAATTACAATTTTCATCATTTTGAGATAGTAAACTATATTAATTCTGCTTCTTGTTCTTTATGAACCGGCAATAACTTACAATGTCAGCTTCAGGTTTATCGATTTTATTGATGGCCACAATAATTGGAACATTGGCGGCTTTTGCCATTTGTATACTTTCTACAGTCTGTTCCATAACACCATCATCCGCTGCCACCACAAGTATCACAATGTCGGTTACCTGTGCGCCTCTCATTCGCATAAGATTAAATGCAGCATGTCCAGGAGTATCCAAAAATGTAACTCTTTCTCCAGTTTTCAATGTTACTGTTGGTTACAAGTTACAAAAATAAAATTGCGAAAATTTATTATACAATATAATTGCACATATATGATGTAATAAATTATTAATACATTATACATAATAATAAACAAAATCGCATTTACCATTGAAGGCTCCAATATGTTGAGTGATACCACCAAATTCTGTTTCCACAACAGATGTATTACGTAATGTATCTAACAATGTAGTTTTTCCATGATCAACATGACCCATAATTGTTACTATTGGATGACGTTTTATCAATACAGATTCATCTGGTAAAGGCCTGATGAATAAGATATAAATAATATAATAATATGGCCTCTTTTATCATCCTATTGATTGATTAATTCTATTCTAATTTTATTATTTAATACCGTTTGACTGCATTATCATCTTTTTTGTCCTTTTCTACTTTGTTATCTGGTTTAGAAATTACTCTAAATTTTGCCCCAAGTTTCCGTACAGCACTATACAATACATTCTGATCTTCTATAACAGTATTTTTATTATAATTTCTAACTGAATCGGACATAAAAATTGCTTCAAGAATGTCATCTATGTTCTTTTCTGCAGATTCTGCCAGCTCTGATACTGTCATTCTGCTCCATACATCCACAACTGGCAATTTCTTTTTTGGCTTCAATTGCGTGAAATTATTCTGGTTCTGTAAGTAATTTCTATTTTGATATAATACATATATATATGTATATATATATATATATATATATATATATACATATATATATATATAATATTAAAAAAATTGAATTAGTAATAATTGAATAAAATAATGTATATAAAAAATTGGAAATTTACCTTTAGCCTTGGTGCATTTTTAAAGTATTGTAGCGTCACATGATAATGCTGGCATTGCACGCATGTGAAAAATAAAGGAGACAAAACACGTTTCTTTACATTGTCACTTCTGACAAATTCGTAGAGTTGTTGCCTCAGTAAACTGTAAATTATATAATAAAAGTACAAGACAATTAAAGCTATCATAAGATATATACAATAGAATAGGTTATGTTTCTAATTTTTTAAGGAACTTGTATTTTTTAGCAATATTGACGTATTGAACGGATTTTGCCGCAAATTTTTGAAGATACGATTTTAATCGTCATGACATCGTCTCTTTGACTAAAAAAATGAGTACCTGAACTCCGTACATGTCCTAATCAAGGAAGCAGCCATGTCTACGGTTACGCAATCAGTTTAGCCAACTTTAATAAATCGAGATGCGAAATTTACTGCATAGATAGTAATAAAATGGCTACGTTCAGAAAAGAACAATTGAGCAACCTGTTTTTGAAAATTGATCCGATTGGTAGACCCAGACGCCAATCAATCGCAGGCGATCTTGACGATTGCACAATCATTGTTTTCTGGACGCAATCATTAACACACGTGATCCTCGATAACATCTTGCGCTGTTTCAGGTATGTGTAGATTTCTAAACACACTGTCAGCCAGGAATGCAAAAAATATTTTTCCATATCGACGTTACAATGTATATTACAAAATATAATTATAATTAGCTCGCATGATAAACAATGTTTATCACCCAATTGCGATCTATTACCGCTTTGTAACGAAAGAGGATAAAAATCTCCTCGACCTACAATATTATTGGAAAAATAATATCGCGTGTTGACGATGTAAAAAAAAAAGATAAATCACGCCACCGAACATTCGCCTCGTGATCGGCAGATGCCGCGTGCAGTCCACTATTGTCCGAATTGGATCAAGAGATCGCTCTGATACATACATCATCGCAACTTTTCGCTAACGTCACGTGCGGTGATTCGTGTCACGGCCTTCGAGGCGACAGTTTGTCGCGTGAATTTTACGTTCGGTAGCGTTCACGTCGTTCGAATTCGTCTGTTCGAAGGCGGGAGACGGGTCCCCCGACTCGGAAGGAACCGAGAGCCCACGTGGCCCGTCCATATCTGACAGTGGCTGTCCGTCAGTGTACGAGGATTGACATTCGTCAGGCGCCGTCGTTCATTCGCCGATCATTCTGCTTCGGAGGACGATATCGTCAGCTGTGAACAGGTCGTAGCTACCGACCAGCTGTTGGGAGATTCAGTTTTGGACGAGTAAACGAGCGATAGTGATCCCTACGATATCGAAGTTTTTCTGCGAGGTGAGTGCCCGCGATCCTCTCGATCCTTTCGAGTCTTTAGATCTGTGATCAAGTGCATATGTTATGTACGCGGTGGTCGTTTGAGAGAAAAAAGATAGAGAGATGAAAGCGTAGACGCGAAAATGTTTTTCGAATGTCATGCTATGAGAAGGACAAATTGTTCGCGGGAAATTGACGATAGATCTGCTTTTTTTCAACTGCTTTTTTTTCCTGTCAATCTCTATCTTTTTCCTTCCAATGCTTGATGTCTATTTCGAAAGTGTAATATAATACAGCTAAAAAAACAAAAGTGAAATGTGTAATGTATTATCGCGAGATATCGCGGAACATTAAAAATACATGGCCAACACACACACATACACACAATCGTGTACAGTGTATCGATATTTTTTACAAAAGATTTACGTATAATAAATATCAGCGTATTGATAATTATATCTGCGCAGCGCAAATATTAACGCTCTTGACATATCTCGACAAATAAATTTCAAGCGTAGAGTCCCTAACTCATTAACCCCTCGGTTTATGTATAATTTATCTATTTGTGTTATGTAACGCGCAATGTCCGTAATAGTTGACCGGTTAAAAGTATGTGTAAAGTGTAATCTTTGAATCTTTTTGTTGAAAGATTTATTTCTTTTATTTGTTCAATGTGAGATTTTTGTTGAAAATATTTGTCGCACACCATATCAATTATTTACGTATACAGAAAATATTCATGTCATCTTTTATTGCATTTAAAGCATTGTTGGCTGCTAAAATATAAAAATTTTCGAAATTATAGAAATACAATTTAATCAAAATAATAATATTATTATTCGTCCTCTATTAAAGTACGAATCGTTACTAAAATTTCACCTCAATGTGATTTTTGCGATGTAAAAAAGAAATGAATAATTTTACATATTACAAAAATATATGTATTGTTTACATGAAGATATTTATAGACCTGATATCGTGCGGATCTCTCTTTTATTGACGTAAAATTTCCGTGCCGATGTGATTCGTCGATGTGTAAACGCTGCATGAAGCCGCATCCTTGAAATAGAACGTGGACATGATCGATTTTATTTCGATAAAAGCGGCAGTTTCCTCGCGCCATTCACTTCATTTCAACCATTTCGATTGTCTTCTTGCTATCGCTTATTATGATCATTACAATTATTACAGTCACTCCAAGTCATTCTTGGCGATTTCGTCAGCTGGACGCTGTCGAAATTATCGAGTATTTACATAATAAGTCTTCTAAATGTTGTGAAATGTATTCAATTACCTTCATTATACTCTAAAATTTTATTTTTTAAAAAGAAATTTATAAAGATATTTTTTCTGAAAGATATTTGGAAAATAGTTTAGAATCTCACAAAAGAAATTTTCGTAGGTGAAATAAATATAGATGAATTCATTTTTCGTATGTCATATTTCGTATGTAACATTACGTATATTATATTTATCTAAATAGTTTTTATTTAAAAATAAATATATGGATATAATTTATAAATTAATAGTAAATATATAACAAATTTCATGTGTAAAAATAATTGCTAAAGTTTCCTCATAATATTTTTCAGATTTTTTTCTACAATTATGTAAATTTTACAAATATATTAAAGCGATTTTTCGAGTCTTATTTTCCTTTATTTTTATCAAAATATGTAATTTACAATAATTTACAGTAATTTACAATAAGTAATTTGAAGTAATTATCATCGCACTGTTATTTTACAATTTATATAGTTATTTATAATTTGAAATTACATTGAAATTATATTGCATTGAAAATAACTCGTGAAAATTGCATATCGTAATTTCACGTTGAGTACGCTTTTTTTACGATCTTTTTGTATCGTTTGAAAGAGTCAGATATCAAGGTGCGTTCGGGACTTACAAACTGCACTTTGAAATCGTTTTACGCAATTCTGCGTATTTATTCCAAGAAGTGCCATAAAATTACGGTCCGCATCCGGCTTCCGCGTACAAGGACGAAATACACGCGAAGTTAACAACCGCGTAGAGCACGCTTTAAAGCACTTGATAATTGTGCGAATAATGTCGAGGTCATACCATTTTGTAGATGTCCGTGTTTTCACGTACGTCAGATTTCCGTTCTATCATTTATTTGCGAGATATTCTCTTTTAATTAGAGAGTAGAATAAAAAAAATAATTTATATAAAAGAAATAGAATTTTTAATTGACAAAGAGATACAGTTAACTTTTTTTTTTCAATTTTTTATACGCAACGCACGACATGCATCTTTATGTTTCCCCTCTGTTTTTGTCAGAATGTAATTTATTAGTAATTAAAAATAATTGTTATCACGCTTATATTATATTTTTATATTTAAAAAAATTTTTTTCATCGATTTCAAAGTGGTTTATTGCACAACGAATCGTAATTTTGCATTCCATGATCGGGAATTTAGATAATAAAATTCAATCTTGCGTCTCCTGAGGAAACGAATTTTGAGACTCATCCAAGTTCACGCTGAAATTAAGGAACAACGATTTCGAGAGACAACTGACCTAGGTTCAGCGTACGAGATAGCGCTTCATCCAATCGATACGTCCTCGACCCTGGTTAATGTTTTTCTTTCTTGCTTGAATGATTTCGTTACGAGCATTTCTGGGAAAATAAGTTGTTTTCCAAATTTTTAAGCGAAATTAAAGCCAGAAAATTGCAATGCGTGATGCGATAACATATAATTCATTCGATAAGACAAAATAAAATTGATTAAAATATTCTATTTATATTTGATTAATCGAGCCATTTATGTAAAACATAGGGTATATCGACGATAAATTTTTCAACTTATATGCTTTGCATGTTTTTTTAAGTCTCAGTTCATAAATTTTATATTTGTACTCTTTTCAATTTTATTTAGTTGTCAAGTTTTGGATATCAACGATATTTTATTGTATATATCGGAATGCAATATTATCTCATTATCAGATAAGACACTTCGATAACGATTTACACTTAATATTTACGGTAGAAATATTTCTTTGTAATCGAATATTTGGAACGTGTGTGGTATCAGGTGACAATCGTCGTGTGATGCGCCGGAGATAAACTGAATGGACGGAATGGCTCGTTACGGCAGCGAGAGATCCTTGCATTCCCTGCACCCCGGTCACTCAACTCATGCTGCCGCCTCGACGTCTCCCACAACGCCTACGACAACGTGTGCTATCACCCTGACCAAGGTCGCTGCCGCTACCAGTGCTATCCACGTGCCAAGTGTCGGATCACCTGGCAGTCCTAGTAAGTCGATGGAAAAGTTTACGAGGATATTTAATTATATAGTTGAAACGCGTTTTCTCGAAACAATTAAGAATTTCTTGAAATTTCATTCCATTTCAAAATCAATAGATATTTAGAAATTAATTTCTCGAATATTTTAAATCGTTGGCATTTCATTTGATTTATGAAATTATCCACAGAAGTGACCACTTTCTTCTATTATTTTGTATGATTAATCTTATATCGATACTAATGTTACTTTTACATATCAGTTTTATTGTTTCTTTTTCATGTTTCGTTTTGTTTGTTTTTGTAATTTACATTATCTATAATATCTTAAAGTATCTTTTCATCCACAAGGTCATTAATTATTTACTTCTAGTATATCGCGTGTTTATGAATATCCCGACAAATAATTTTTGAAAGGCTTAAATAATTTCGAGAAAATTTAGAAATTTTGTGGGAAATTTGCTGTCGAAATTTTATGTGATATTTTATATTTTTATATTTTTATATATTTTATTAAAGCACTGTAACTGAATTCGAGAATTTATCAATAAAATAAACGATTAAGATGTGATGATGAGAATAAAATCTCTCCATAAAAAATTAAATTTTTTACAATTAAAATCGGAACATAATAAAAAAATTGAAAGCTTCTGTTCCATAATAAGTACACAAAGAATAAAAATGAGAAATACATACAATGACATATAATTAATGTATTCTGGTTTCATTGCGGTTCAATTTTATCCTGATTTAACGTAATTAAGAAATCTAGCTCTTGTTTCTCAAATTTCTAAAACGAGTCTATCAAAGATTATTGAATCCTTTATTTTCAAAACTTGAACAAACTAAAAAATATTCGATCTCAACGACGATTTCCCTCCGCAATTATCCTCGCGCCGCTACCCATCGCAATCATTTATTTTCCGCGACTTAATAATTAATGAAACGATTACGCATGTGGAGTAGCCGCGACCTCGCCGCCGTCTTCGCTGGACTCCCGTATACCGAGGCCATCGCCGTCGGCTCTGCGACGTGCCGCCAGCTTGCGCGTGCGCGGCGAACGGATACTACCACCACATCATCCGCGAGCCACCACCGCCGCGGCCCTGATCGGCCACCAACAGCATCACCGTCGTCACAACCACCTCCTGCAATCGTCGCAGCAGCATCAGCATCCGGATCATTGTATCTTCCCGGTCATCACGGAGAATGGAACCGACTCGCCGCGACAACGATCCCTCGTGAGTATCATCCGGCTGCTTTGGAAGGTCGCTTTATCTCCAAACGCTGTCAATATCATCGTACACTAGACGTAGATCGGTCGCACTGTAAACGGACTCCTCTTCAAGTCAAGTTTGACATTTACGATTGTACGCAGCGATGATTTTCGCGAAAAAAACGAGAGCAAAAGATGATGAAAAGCACGAATGACAGTCCTGATTGGTATTCAAAATTAAACGATCCGAGACTGATCTGCGCACTTTGCTCGACGCACAAAAGTACATATGCTGAATATTTTATCCTGAATATTCGATGGAAAAAATATTTGAGTCTTATATATTCGTTTACACGATGTAATAGAAAGCATTATTGCTAGAGCTACTAGAACGAAGAATATCGCCGCTCTCGTTTTTACAAGATCCGCCAAGGTACTCGACAAGTCTATAGCGCAAAGAAATTGATCTCTGACTTTTGCATGCGGTTATACGTCGGAATCCGTATGGAAATCTTTACCTTTACCTTCGCTAACCGTAACTTAGAAGTTCCGTTGACTTGTCAAGCTAATTTACACGGTAGGTCACGGTAGTCGGATCTGTTCCCCTCGCGTGACAGATATATTCCGGACAAGTGTCATTATCCCTAAGTACGCAATATAAGAAATAATCCAACAGGTAGGCACCTCGTTATAAATCCGCCCACGTATCGACTTTTATCGTATCGTGAACTATCGTATACATCAGTTACCTTGCATCTTTTTTTATTCTTTTTAAGAATCTAAAAAGTCTAAAGAAAGCTAATAATGCGAATTTTCAACGAAAATTAGCAAATAATTTTTTAATGTTTTGAAGAGTTCTTTTTATACTTGTTTAATAATCTAATTTCATAAATTTCATATTATACTTGACTTGAAGCTTATTACTATTATAAATGATTCATGTATATATCTCTTTTAAAAGACGCTTTTTTAAAACATATTTGTCCATAAACATGATGTCTTTCTGAATTCCTATGAATAGTTTCTTTATACATTTCTTAAAGGAACCATTGTTCTTTTCTCATTCAACTGAATGATTGTATTCTGTCAAAATTCATTTAACAGTAATGTGCATTATCTGCTCCGCTTTTAAATGAATCGCGCTAACGGATGAGTTAATTGAATGATGTACCGTTCAGAGTCTCTCACTGACACCGGTGAGGCCGCGGCCAAGTCACGCGGCCTCTGGAGGAACGACGACAGGAATTGCCGATGATAGCGATGCCGAGAGTGTGAAGAGTTATAGTAGCGCTTGCAGCACGGCGAGCGCCTGCGAGCACGCCTCCTTCGCGTTGAATGGCACCACTTGGTCCGGTCGATCGCGGAAATATGTTGTGCACTGCTCAAATAACGTCGGCGACAATGAACAGTATCTCACGCCTACTCAAAGAGCGGCTAGACAAGTCAGGAAGTTTCAGGTAATTAAATTAACAACAAGATATATTTGCAGTTATATTTGTTTCTATTGGTGGTTTCGCTTTTACACGCAATTTCATTAGCTGTTGATGTTGAACATAGTATACGAGATATATTTTTTATCTCCCCGATTAATAATATCTTATTTGAGTCTTGAAGAATATAATTTTTATAAATCTTTTAAATTTAAATTTAAAATTTGTAATTGGTGAGAAAACTTGGCTTGAATTATGCACGCACAATATGTCGCAAAATCACCGAGAATCCATTAAAAGAATATCTGATAGTCTTGAGACATTCTATATTTAATAATTAAATTATTTCTCTTTTCGTTTGTTGAAATTAAGCAGCTGTTTGCATCTCTATTTGTTTCTATAGGCTCTATTGAAAGAGGCGCGTAAAGAGATCGAGGAGAAGGACCGAGAGCTCTTGCGATTGACGAAGGAAGTTGTAGAATTAAGGCTGTACAAGGCTTCTCTGAACAGTCCGGATGAGCGAACAGATAGCAGCGACGCTCTCACTGTACGTGAGAACAATCCCTTCTCACCAGAATCACCGAGCAAAGATCTTCCGGATGAGAGTATCGCGGAGAAATCTGTCACCAGTCCGGAAACGCCGGAGAAGCGTTTACACACAGATCTTCCCCCGTCATTGGCTGATTCCGGTCACTTCGAAGATGGTTCCGTCCATTCGAAAGACTCTGTGTGTCTGCCTGAGCCACAGCCGGAGATTGTTATCAGTACGCCTAATGGGGTACCATCCAGCGATATTGTTTCCGAGGCAATCTCTGTAACTCCTATAACGAGCATCGAACGAGACGAGGAGAGACGTCGATTGGTTAGTCATTACGAGAATAGAATTGAAGATATGCATAGGCGGCACGTTGACGAGTTGCAGGATGTCAAGCAAAAGCACAATGACAAGGTGAAGATTTTTTATTTGGTAGACACATTATCCAATTTCTTTTCTCATTTTATCACATGAATTTAAAGAATGTACAATTTTACGCGCAATATTGGTAACAAATTTATTATCCAGGTGGAGAGTTTGCTCAATCAATTATCTGAGGTCAACACACGTTACTGCGAGGTGCGGCCAGCCGTAGATATTGCGGAGGCTCGTGTACGTGAATTAGAAACTGAATTGGAGGCTGTGAAGACTGAGCTTAATGAACAGAAAGCGCTTTTAAGCGAACAAGAGGAAAGAAATAAGCAAATGTACCTGAAAATGTATGCCAAAGGTCAAGAAGCCGCGCGCATGGAACAAGCTGATCAGGTACGACATAAAGTAACAAAAACAAACAAAATATATATATTATTAAATTTGATACTATTTCAATCTCTTTCGTAAAATTATAGATATTCGTGCAGGCACATCAATCACCGCCTAAAGTTACCGTCGCGGAACTCCTTCAACAACTAACCGTTACACAAGCTGAATTAGAAAATATTAAGGTGAGACGTAATTTATTCGCACTCTATTTTCAAAACTAAACAAATATACCAATAGGATAATATAATATTGCAGTTTAATCAAAATTTTATTTCGTATATTCTGCGCAAGATTATTTTAAATTTATATAAATTTGAAATATACAGAATTAAATGTCGAGACATTATTATCTAGAGATTATTATTAATACAGCAGTTTTCTTTCAGCAAAAATTTTTCATCGTTTTTGTTGTCATTAAGCTTTCATAATGCATCATAATGTAACATTTACATTTACCTAGATAGTTAATTATCTGTGAATTTGCTGTCATGTTGCTAACAATTGTTGTATTATTGTTGGCAATATGTATAGTAATATCATTAATCATATTAATTAACATGTAATGATTAATTATGATTAATCACGTTTGATTATATCTAGGTAATTAGAGTTCTTTATTAGTTTGACATTTGCATTCTTTCTCTCGCTTGATCATTAGTATTTTTTTCTAGTAGATATGCATTTTTTACTTAAGGCATAACATCTGAAATTTGCGTTCATAATCTTATGGATTTTCTCACGTTTGCGAAAGAGAGATTTTCTCGCGATCTTAATCATGCTAACACAATAACATGCCTGAATCTCAAACTGTTTTTTTTTTACGTAGTCTAATCAGCTTTTATATTTGTTTCTCAGAGACACATCGTTTATTCATTTTTTTTACATTATCACACACTTGTAAGGCGTACGTACATCACATTTCGAGCATTCTCGTAGTTCACGATACTCTTGTACTAACGATGTGCCACTTTTTTTGGTCGCCGCTCACACTCCAGGACACAAGCTACTCGCCTGAACCTCACATTTCAGCCGAACATAGCCAAAGTTTATTAAGCGCTCAAGAGGCTGTTTCTCTCTGGGTCCTTGGCACACGTAAGGTCTGTATCTTAATTCGATTGTCACGTGACGCAATTTTCCACTTTTTAACGCCCGTAAATGTAGCATTTCTTCATATAATATGCACCGATCTTTTATCAGTGTTTTATTATATCAAGAACTGATATTCCGATATAAACATAATGTTCGCTATAGTCCTTCCTCTTACATAAACTTTTATAAGAATTAAACTCTTATATGTTAAAATTTTTATAAGAATTCTTTAAGTTGAAAATAGAATTAATTAGAGGTACAGTAATCAATTAATTGTTTTGTAATTTGTTTGTTCGACTTGAATTATTCTGTAACTTAAGAAACATATTAAAACTTCGAAGATGTATCTTATGCGCGAGTTGGTGACATTCAGTTCTTGATATGGGCGTGTGGAAAGAATACAATTGCGTTCATATCTCTCTTTCTTTTACATTCGCGTTAGTAAATGCTTTGCTGCAACAATTGCATGTGAATCATGAGGCACAAATGTAGATAGTTGATACTTTCATACTGGTTGCTCTTAGATCGGGCGATATTATCCAGTACACTTGGAAGAAACAGCCTCTTATAACTTCGGTCAATGTAAGTTTGCACGTGCTTACAGCCAATGCACGCTTCTTCACTATTGCGTATAAGATGTGTATATCATATCTTTGAGTTGAGGTGAATTGTTTTGATTCCAGTTGACATTTTAAAGTCAGTGATGTTATTGTACCTTGATATAAAATACATACATGTGTGTAATTTCCAATTATACATATATACATATATATTAATATACATGTATTCTAATCATTGAAAACTCTTGATATTTGCAAACGTTAAAAATAATATAAATATGAATGTATCTGGATTCAAAATTAATTCATATAACATATACATATATATTGAAACATTTATATATTTTTTTACATGTTACAATATTCTAGTTACATTATTTAATAATGCCATTCTATTTTGCTTAGGCAATGTATCGGCGTATTGTAGAGGCGAGAAGCAATCAGGGTACTCTCGATCCAGAAATTACTCTGCAATTCCTAAAGTCGGCGATCTATTATTTTCTAACTGATAAGGAGAATCAACACGGTCACTTAAATGCTATTGAAAGTATCTTAGGCTTCACAGACACGGAAAAGCATAACATCGACAGGTTTTATCGATCAGCGAGGAAGTAATACTTTTTAAAAATTCTTCAATATTAAAAAATAATATCACTGTTGACGAAAGGTGTTACATTATCAGATTTAACACCCGAATGTTAACATTTTCATTTTATTGATAAATTCTTTAAAATAAACTTTTGAGTTTGTGTGTCTAAAAAATTTATATCAACTTTAGATAGTTTTTAATTAGCAGCGTAAAAAAATTTATCGTGAAAATTAATTTATATATTACAATTTCATAATGAGAAAACAAATTATATTTTTCTTTATTATATTTTTTGATTTACAATTTTCATTCTTCCCAATTTTTCCAAACTTAATCATAAAGTTCATATAAATCTTTGGCAGACACACCTTACATATTTTTTCATTAAATGTTATTTATGTACAGTACAAAAGATTTAAAAAAAAACAGCATATTTTATAATAGTATGATACAAATATATAAACCAAACATTCGGGAAATTTAAGTATGACAATTTTGTTAGGAATATATAATATTTTAGTTTTCTTTCGCACACATATGTCATATTTTTATTACATGGTAGTTGACGATTTCGGACAAATCAAATTACTTTTATTTTTTTAATATATTTAATATATTTAAAGTTCTAAGGGATTTAAAATCGTAAATTATATATATATATATGCGGCTTGGGTAGCGACTGAATTTATTTGCAACTGTGTATGTAACATCGATGCTACATGTGTACAATGGCCATGTATTACAAATTTAATATTACACGTATCACTCGTGCAACTTACATACTCTAAACTAGTATGTAAGTATATTCTAGTTATATTTGAAAGAATATATATTGTGTAGTTATTGCAAATCATATATTTTACTTCAATAATATAATTAATGCATGCATTGTGTATATCATAACAAATATTCCAAAATTGAGCAAGAAATATGTGATACAGGTGAAAGAAGTGATTAAGAAGAAATTTAAAGTTAAATTTCAAGAATTTATATAATTATTTGAAATGCATGTGCCCATGTATGAGTACGAAAGTTGAATATATTTTTCTCGTTATTACGTCGTAATTCCCGAGAACATAGATTAATAAATTTATTTATATATTTACTTGTTATAAATAAAAATGAATATATATACAAATATACATATATATTCAGGATGAATCGGAGTTTCTACTAAATCTTCAAGTGGAAAGACATGATTTTGAAATAACTAGAAACATGATTTAATTGTACTTATGTCCTGTATGCATAGTAACTCCAAACCATCCTGTATATACTTATCTATATCAAAGTCTGGTGATATAACGTCCGGATAAAGTAACAATATAGAGACTGAAGGATATATCTTGCCTTTTTATCTGCTTGTAACTTCAAGTTAAGTAGATCTTGTAAAAGGATATTCAAGTGCAACTACTAGTACTTCTCAATAAGCACAATTCCTATCTTAATGTAATTACAATTATAATTATAATTATTCATTTCTCAGATTCGTGTATTTTAATTAAAACCGAAAATAAGTCGGGTTGGTTAATTATTGTGCACGAATGTTTGATTATAATTATGATTTATAATTGTGGCATCAACTATTAGCTTAAAGTTATTTTAATAATTAAAATTTTTGCTAGGTGTTTAGCAATATGAATATTATTCAAACCAAATGAATAATTTTTATTTCTTCAATTTTAATATTATTTTAGTCTCTATAGATAAAAATAAAAATCATTTCAAAGCTAGAGTTTGTTTTATAAATTTCACATAATTAGCTTGAAGAAAAAAAAGACGCATATCTGAGGTGCCAATGATAATGTGAATATTCGTACTACATATAAATTGCTTTTTGAAGCTACATTCTCCTATACTATTTTATAAATCGATAAACAGAAATATTGCCAGTAATATTATATCAAAACGTCCAAGGTTAAGAAATCTAATTTCATATAAAGTGTAAGTAATTATATTTCTAATTCTGAAAACTTTTGTCATAGATAATATTCATTTTGTAATAAAGTTCCTTTGGCAAATGTTATGATGCTTAGGCCTAAATAAGTTATAGTTGACTATAATAAAATTCCAATATGTCATTCCATCAGAAATGTTTCTGATAATGCAAGAGACAAGTCTTGAAACGTTAAAACTCATTTTTTAAGAATTTTAAAAAAATATGATTTCTTCAAAGTGTTTTTTCTGCGAATTTAATAATTACATACAGTGCAAAATAAACTCCATCTTTTTATTCTTGTTCTTATGCATTGCAGGAACATTACATTTTCTTAATTTAGCTTCACATTAGTGTTTTGATTGTATTATAATAGCATGTGAAAAGCTAAAATAAAAAATTTAAATATATATTAATATATATAATGCATTCGTTCTTCCAAAATTTCATACTAATTTACTAAATAATTATCTAGAATTTTGAATAGTTTGAAAGTATGATCAAGGCTTCGTAATATAAGGGGCATTTAGATTATTACACAGTAAGATTTTTGTTAAAGTTTTTAATGGTTTTGCAAAAGATGAAGTATTATGCAGAAGTATCACTTTTTTCCTGCTATAATGATTCCATCATATTTCTGCTGGAACCATTTCATAGCGTCTTCTTTGGTTAGCCTATGCTGGAAACCAACTTTGCCTGTTTTTCTTCTTCGATGTGCCACATTAAATCCTACAAATTAAATATAAATTCAATAACTTGTATTTTATTATTTATAAAAAGAATATGACTTTCTAAATTTCATTATTAATTTTATGGAAATATTGTTTAATTGTAGCATCAATTAAGTAACACACCCAGTAAAATGAAGTGGGTATGAGTTGCAAATATGAAGCATTTCCTCTAGCACATAATTAATAATTATAGATATCATTACATACAAAACAGATATCTATGATACCAGATAATGTGCTGTCTAATGTATTTAAAAAGTTATATTGCTAACCTGGACGCCCAAGAACAACGTAGAAGTCTAATCCATAGATACCAATACTGGGATCATATTTGATTCCCAAATCGATGTGTTCTTGAATGCCAAAGCCAAAATTTCCAGTGCCCGAGAAGTTCTCTTTTTTCAGTTCATATTCTCGCACCTATAATCAAATAATATTACAATCACAAAAAGAAAAAGAAAAAGAGAGAGAGAGAGAGAAAAAGATTCCTTGACTCACCTTTAGGCCGCGTTCGAGAATTTCTTCAGCTTTTGCACCACGGACCGTGCAATGTACAGCTATCTTCTCGTTACGCCTTATGCCAAAAGAACGTACTGTATATCTGGCTTTGGAGAACACAGGTTGTTGTCCAGTCAGTTGCTCCAAGACCTATGTGTATAAAGGATTAATTTTAATAATTAAATATATCAAAGATATCTCAATTAAAATAAAAATCGTTTGTAAAACTTACCTTGGCAGCGCGCGTCAGCCTATCACCAGATTCTCCGACACAAATGTTCAAGCAGAGCTTGCGGATTCGTACTTCACGCATTACATTCTTGGAAGCGTCTTTCGGTTCCCTCTTCACTTTTTTGTCGATCTTCTTCTCGACCTTCTTCTCGGGTGCTTTCTTTACATCCTACAAGTAAAAAATATAGTTTATTACATAAAATTTATCATACGTGGACCAGTATTCTCCTAGCCTACCTAATCCATATCGATAAAACGTATTTTCAATCAATCATTGGTGTATGAATTTAAAAAAATCAATATTATTTAAAAAAAATTCATTAAGAAAGGGAAGCAAAAATTTATTATTAAACAAGCTTATAACAGCAATAAATTAAATACGAGCCGATGTCTTTCGGTCAAAGACAAGCGTGCGATCTCATCCATGTGTCACAGCACTACTTATAATATCATCGTCTTTGTAAAAAACGAACATAATCATCAACTTATTATTGATATGAGCTATTTCCATATTAAGATGATATTTAATAGAATTGAACGATGTAAGAGATACAATCGGATCAAAGCAAGCATTTCGGGGCAAAGAAAACTCACCGCCATGATGAAGAGAAAAGATGGAATTCACGCGGCACGATCTTACGATGAAAACTAGGGTGCGTTCCGTTTGTTCCGTTTCGCGTATAATGCGCATGAGCAACATGAGAATCGTTCCATTTTACTCCATGCGCAGTTTATGGGCGCATGAACGATCTCCCACCATCACAATACGCCCTCTGTGGACCTTAAAAACGTGGACATGAACTATGAAGCTAATATCTAGACCAAGAACTCCTCCTCGATCGACACCAATTAGAATGAAGAGCAACGAGCTTTTTCCTCTGATTGGTCAATTAAACAGTTCGACATTTTTAGTGTCAAAGCATATCTTGTCAACTGTGCTTTATGTCTCGAATATGAATGCTTAGCAGCAGATTCAAAATTCAGAATTGTTAGAATCAGTTGTGCCGCGTGTTTAAGATCTTAATTTATATACAATTTGCTGTGTGCAAATCGTTAACAATGGATCAGAGTTTTGAAAATTGGGATGTCTCAGAAGACCGATTAGCCGGATTCCATCCGAGTGGTGATTCCATCGTAATTTCCGACAGCGATGAGGACGTCGTCGAGAATTCCGTTACAGCGGCAAGTAACAGACGTGCAATCGTCGTCGAAAGTAACGACGAGGACACCGATTCAGGGACTTCGACACCAGAACAGTAAGATATTTCGTCCGTTATTCTTTCTTTCGCGATCAAACGGAAAATCTTCTTTAGTTTTTTTATGGACGTCTTTGATCTGTTCGACGATCAATATACTCAGGCCAACAATTGGTTTAAACGGAGAATCTTTATAAAGAGAAAAATTATAAAATAATTTTTTAATTATAAAATTTAATTATAAAATAATTTTTTAATTTTAAAATTATTTTATAATTTTTCTCTTTATAAAGATTCTCCGTTTTTGATTTTGAAAAATCAAGAGTGCTTTGTCCGTTATCACATTTGTATACATAGACTGATAGATAATAGATAAAATGAAAAACAAGGGCAAATAAAAAAATATTTAGAGATATGCGATCGCGCGCTGCATAGATTTCGTCGACAATGTTATTGTCAATGTTGAGAACAAGCATTCTTGAATGATCAAAAAAATGAAAAATAATTCGAACGGTTGAGTTTTTCTGATAAATAGAGACTTCGAGAAACGTTTCAATCGTGTAGTTCAAAGGAAGATCAAAATAGTAGATTCGGGTGAAAGCGCTGATGATAGCCAAGAAGAATATCATACCATTTGCCATTTGCATAATTCTGATTCAGATAAAGAAAATTTTGCAGGTAAAGATTATTTATGGTGTTTATGGTATTTTATCCAATATAATATATTTTACAACTTTATATATTTTAAAGATGTTTATTATTAAAATAATATCACAGAATTATGTATTTTCACTCAATTATACTGTTTTATATATTCTACTTTATATTGTTTTATAGATTCTATTTCATATTCACCTATTGAAAGCAATGATAATAAAAAGAAAGATATTCACAATAGCACTAAAGAAAAAATAAAAGGATTAAAACACAACTATTCTAATAAATCTCTTGTTAATAATTCACATAAGCAAAATGATGAAATTATTCATGAAATATCAGATTATAAAATATCAGATCATGAAATATCAGACTATAAAATATCAGATTATGAAATATCAGATCACGAAGCACAGAAAATGGAAGCGTTTCATGATGTAGCAACTATTGTACATGATACAGGTATTTTCAAAAATTAATCTATATATATATATATATATATATATATATATATATATATAAAGCTAGATTAATTTTTTTATATAACTCTGTAATTTGTAGATTCCAATTCTGAAAGATACAGTGAATCCGAAGTAGCATTATCTATTGCGAAACAAGAAATTGGTGTTGGAAATATAGATCCATTAGTAGCACAAAAAAGAGCAGTTCTGATTTGCAAATTAGAACAGCTTAAAAATCAATTAACTAAAACAAAAGTAAGTATAAGAAAATATTTAATTCGCTTATTTACTCTAGTTCATTTATAGTTAATATAGCAATATTAGAAGAGAAACAACTACTTTTATATATAATAATTGTGTATTTAAATTAATAAAATAAATATGAATAATTTCTGTATATAAAAAAGAAACATTTTTCTTAGATATAAAAAAAATTTTTTTTTTTAGTTATTACTTAGTCAAGGAAACATTGAAATATTACCTGATAAAGGAGAAAGACTACATAAAAGTATACGTGAACAAGAAACAGAAATTGAGAAATTGACACTCGAATTGGAGAAAACACCTTTAATACAAAGCTTAAATATCCAAGAAAATAAAGTATCCAAAAAATCACATCTGGCAAAAAAAGAATCATTGCCCATTAAAGATGAACCAGATCACTCAGATGATTCAGATCACTCTGATTATTCATATTTGGACATTAATAACATACCAATGAAACCGACCACATCTCCCGAATTAAGACAACTGGGCGAAAAGGCACAAGCTACAAGAGATAGAGAGCTTGCTTTAACAGTTGAACGATTACAAGATTTGCATGGATCACTTGTCGCTCGTCCAACAGAGAACGAAAAAGCAAAGGATCCAAGAGGATTACAAGTACAATTAATGCCACACCAACAACATGCTCTTGCATGGCTTCTATGGAGGGAACAACAGAGGCCGGCTGGTGGCGTTTTAGGTGAATAAAGAACGATTTATTCTGTCCTATTATTTATTGTATTCTATTGTCAGAGAAAATAAATTTTTGTTGAATTTTTTTTATTACAGCTGATGATATGGGTTTAGGTAAAACATTGACTATGATATCTTTGATTATGACTACTCTGATTCAAAAAGACTCACTGGATGAAAGTGATGACAGTGATGACGATGAATGGAACAATGATCACAAACATTTATGTATGTACAACTTTATTTTAGCAGAGAAAAATCTATATTTTCTGCTTTTCTTGAAATAACTTTTTCTTTTTTTTCGAATTATTTAAATTGAATTATTTAAATTAATGAGATAAGTATTTAATATAATTCAATTAATTTTTATATTAATTATTATATACTATTAAAATAATTGTATTGGATTATTATCTGCAGATCATAAAGGTGGTACTCTAGTGGTATGTCCTGCATCTTTATTATTTCAATGGAATAATGAAGTGCAAAACAGATGCAAACGCGGTCTACTAACCGTCGAGATATATCATGGTAGCAATCGAGAGAGTGTTCCTAAACGCTTGTCGAAAAATGACATAGTTATTACGACGTACAATATATTAAGTCGAGAACATAAAACCAGATCTACATTATATAAGGTATAGTGAAATCTAGAAATATTATTTATAATAAATAGGCAAAAATATAAAAAATTATATCAATGCAAATAAATCAAAGGAATCTATTTTAAGTTTTAACAATTAAAAATTTTTTTGTAGATTAACTGGAAAAGAGTGATACTTGACGAAGCTCATGTAATAAGGAATCATAAGAGTCAAGCATCATTAGCTGTTTGCGAACTTAAAGCAAATAAACGATGGGCTCTTACTGGCACACCTATACAGAATAAAGCAATGGACTTGTATTCCATTTTAAAGTTTCTCAAATGCTCACCATTTGATGATTTACGTGTCTGGAAACGATGGGTAGATAACAAAAATGCTGCGGGCAATCAAAGATTGGCGACAGTTATGAAGTCTTTGATGCTGAGAAGGACTAAACAAGAATTAATAGAAAAAGGCGATTTGGAAAGTTTACCCGATAAATTGATCGAAGAGGTGATAGTAAAACTCGATCCACAGGAACAACTTGTATACGAAAAAGTTTTAATTTATTCCCGTACTCTATTTGCACAGTTCTTAGTTCAAAAAGCAGAGAAAGAACATATGTCTAATTTGTATAGTGGAAATGATGGACTTGCCTATCTTTCAAATCCAAGTAAGCTAAATATTGAATTTGATGTATCAATACATTTTATGCATACAATTATTACCTGTTCCTTGTTTTACTATTTAAAGATATACCATTTTCAAAAGCTCAAAATAAGTTAATGGCGATGCATGCCGATGTAAAAACGCATCAGATTTTGGTGCTTTTATTACGATTGCGTCAGTTATGTTGTCATCCACCATTGATCCATGCAATGTTGGATCAGGATGATATAAGACATAATGAGATAACGGATACAGAAAATGTGGATCCTGACTTATTATCACACATGAGCAATATGTCGCTTAATGAAATCGATAAGGAAGGAAAAAAGGAAGTTGATATTGATAGCAGAATAATTGAGAATTTACTTACTGCCGAAAATCCGATATTTCGTGATGATCGTATTAGTTCTAAAGTGAGTAACAATAGTATCATTTATAAAAAAATCTATGCTATTATTTGCATGCAATTAATGTGATATATAATTCAGATGAGGACTTTGCTTAATATGGTTAAAGAAATTTTACAAAAGAGTGAGGATAAACTTATTATCGTTTCTCAATGGACTGCTCTGCTAAACGTTATAGCATCACACCTGTCTTCAATAAAAGGTGCTACATTTAGTAAATTTACCGGAAATGTCGCCATTAAAGATCGCCAAGTATGTTGTAGATAGAAATTGCTATTTAAGCATGTAATTGTTTATTTTAAAAAAATTGATATTTATATGTAATCTTTTTTGCTACAGAGTATAATAGATTCTTTTAATAGCCGAAATTCCGACCCGAGAATCTTGTTGCTCTCACTTACAGCTGGTGGAGTAGGATTAAATTTAGTTGGTGCTAATCATTTATTGTTATTTGACATTCATTGGAATCCACAGTTGGAGACACAAGCACAAGACAGGATTTATCGCTTTGGTCAGAAAAAAAATGTCCATGTTTATAAGTTAGTACATTTTGCATTAAATTTTCTCACGTGTATTGTTCTCTTTAATATTGAGTATTTTTAATTTTAGATTCATTTGCCTTAATACAATAGAAGAACGCATAAAGGGTTTGCAAGATCGAAAACTTGAGATAGCAAGCAATGTGCTAAGTGGTGACAAAAATAATAGTGCTACAAAACTCACTCTAAATGATCTTAAGTCATTGTTTGGTTTTTAATTTATTTTATTTTATGATACATGTAGAGTAAATATAATACGTTGGTACATATTTATATATTTTATCGGAGAAGCGCTGAGCTATAGTATGATTTTTTATGCTTTCACTTTATTGTATTTATTTGTATCAGAAAAGGCTTATCAACTCTTCTGAAAAATGTATGGAGTGAAGGATTTAATTCTAAGATCTGTCAACTATAAATCTACTATTTTTATACAAAATTACATATCACTCCAATGGACTTGGGCCAATTGCATTCAATATTTTACTATTTATTAATCTATAAATTGAAAAGAGAATCGTAATTTAACATATACAAAGATGGCAACAAAATCATGCTCATATACACTCCTGTCTACTTTCTTGCAGACAAATTGTGTCACTGTTAAATCCTGCAAAAAAAAATATAAATTTTTACTGTTGTTTTGATTCAGTAATCTGAAATAACATTTTACTTTAATATTTGAAGAAATTCTGAAGAATTAGAAAATAAATGATCTCATTTTTATTTAAATAAAAAAAAATAAATAATATTTATCAATCATCGTTTTAAAATTTTAAACATTCAAGAAATTTTTTTATGTTTAATAAAAAAATAAAAGATAAAATAATTTTAAAATTACACGTTTATCACATACTTATTATTTCTTTTAGTATTAATTGCTTTCTATAATCCATATCTAATACATATTGTGGACAATATGGATATAATACATATAGTATATATATATATATATTTTTTTTTTTTTCTATATATTACTGACTTTTCTGGATTTTTTGCCCAAAAGCTAGATAACATTCAAGACAATTTGGCGTATAATTTCATAATTATCCTGGAGAGATATACAAACTTCCCTGAAAAAATTTGCTGGGATCTCTGTGAAAGTCCAATTCTGCTATTGTTTCAAGAGCTTAAATACATACTCTTGGATTTTGAGAACGAGCATAATTGTCAATTAATATATGTTACAGCATCATCAATAGTATTTATTATTAGATAACGTTCCAACTTGGAAAGAACGTATTTGAATGCCATGTCATGTATCGGACAGAGATGATAAACTGCAGACAGCGTGTGAGGAGAATATGCTGGCACTGGAAGGGCACGCGAATGTTATTAATTAATTATCTCCTTTTCCATGGAATTTTTATAATAAAATTTTGAATATTTAAGTATTTGAATTTTTATAAAAAATTAAGATATTATAAAAGACGCGAACTATTTATTATTTAAACTACATTTAAAAAAGAAATATTAGAATGAAATTTTGAATTAGACAATCCTGTGCGTCAAATCGTTTATGTATAGTGAACATATAAAAAATATATTTTTATATTACGTTAAAAATATGATAAATTTAATAAAATTAGCTATTTGAAATAAAATAGAATTAATTAGGATTAAATAAAAAAATTGAAGACATATATGGTGCAAAGTTGCATATATAAGCATGAAAAACAATTTATTATATAACTATTAATCTCCTAAAGTTAGATTTCTTTTGTAAATAAATAAAATAAAGAATCAAAGGTGTTATAAAAAAATTTTAAAATTTGAGGTAAATAATACTTGTGTAAGAAAAAATGCGCCCTTAGTATTTAAATATATTTATTGTTCAATTTGGAGGTACGACATATCTCTACTGCCTAAAATGATTACATAGCACCTTCATTAAAGGGCTTCCTGTCGTAAACATAATCGAATCAACGCAAATCATTTGATAAGTACATGAAATTCAAGTACATGCCAGACATAAAGATATCACAATCTGAAATAAAATATCAGACATTGAACAAAAGCTTTACAGGTACTAAGGCCTCATTATTTATAGTAAATCTAACAGACATCAATGTACATGATCATTACATAGCAATACATTGACGTCTTACTTAGCTCCAACAATCGTTTTCTCCAGAGTGACATTCTCAAAACAACGTAATTTTTCAATTTTTATGATCACGAAAATTAATCTACACTTGACGATTCATTAAAATACATTGCGTTTATATTACATGTATTGTCTGTTTACTGTGAAAACTGAAGTGTAAAACCTATTTTGGTTGTCAGATTATTTAATTGTGTAAAAACTTTCAATGAAATCGGTATAATTTTTTATTTTTGTATTTTGTTTATTTTACATCATTCATATAATGTGTAGTTTCTATAGATTTTATCAGTTTTCATAGGAAATCGACTTAAATTTATATGTATTGCAATGTTTCGTTATTCACATCATTAAATGGTCGTACATTTATTTGATTTTACCGCAATTACTGTGATTCATAGTAATACACTCTGTAATGAAGATATGATACATCTGCTATTTTGCAAGAAATCTACAATCTATCTAAATGCATTTTTACTACACTCTAAATCTTTCATGCAGTATATCTATTTTCATCTTGTTCATAATTCACCTCTCATGAATAAGATAAGCTCAATAATTTTCTCTTCAGAATCTCTAAAATATGCAACACTAACTTGCGGGAATAAATCATTATCAGAATATGTTCAAACATATTTTCATTGAAACTGCATTCTTCATATATTAGTATACAATGTGTAATTGCAGTAAAACATAATGTTTTTATTTGTTTCAGAATCGCTCTATTTACAATAACGCACATAATTATTACATTGTTATAATTTTTCCGACTAGGCCTTTCAAATGACCAAAAGAACAATATAAGGAAATACTAGAAAATGCGAACAGTAGGATAGCAACACAATTATTTTCAATGCAATTATAAAGTTGCATCGAGCTAAATATCCTTCCTTTCTATAATACACATTACAATCTTTTTACTTAAAATTCAGTCCCACTTACGAAAAATAAAAAGCTGCAATAAGTTACTGCAATTTAAAGAAACCCCTTTATTCTACTACATTCCAATTATGTACAGTATTTGATGATCAATACTAAATGTACAATCTTCCACATTCAAAGACTGACAATAGTATTGATGATACTACAACATTAAATAATCGTTAAAAAAAATAAATAAAGCACCAGTTTGATTGACTTCGTGCTAAGTTGCATAAAATGTGTTGTAGCAAAACGCATATTTATATTCTCAGCATTCTTTCTTTGTGTATTATTTATATTATATTCACATAATAATAATTATATTCTTCTCAATCATTACTCCGAATTTTAAATACATGATATTCATTTTATTATCTATTCTGCCATTATATAGTTTCTTTAATTTGTAACTCGCGTTATATATCATTAAAAATATATATATTTTCAACCTTCAACTGTATAAATATAAACTGCACATATTAAAAGAATTGTATTTACGGCAAAATTTAGCAAAGTATTTCCAAATATAGTAGATGTTTGATGTATAAAATTTGCGTAAAACTTAGATATTTATTTCGATTATAGATATTAAATATAAAGAAAAAATAAATAAATGCAATAATTAAAGTTATATTAATTATAAGCTGTGGATTTTCCATCATATTGCCGATTTTTATCTTACATATAAATATAATTTTATAATATTATATGTATATATATATAAATATGTAAATGTGTATATATATATATATATATATATATATATATATATTAATTATAAAATATTGTATTATACTTTTTTATATAAAATAATAGTTTTCTAATATAAATAAACATAATCATTACTTTTTGTCACTTTTAAACAAAAAAATAAAATAATAAATACCTATTGAAAAATATTTAAATATTGATACTAATTTTTGTACATAGCATTCTTTTTTTTAAACTGTTTTTTTAAATTTTAATTTTACAAATCTTATACGAATCATTTATACGCGCACAAATTATACACATGTAAATTATACATATAATATACACATTTTAGCTCTTAGTTTGTTGTATTGCTAGAATATAAGGTACATGAAAGCAAAACTAGCAGTCTATAGATACACAGTCCAAGATTTTATAACGCAATCATTGGTTAAAATAATCTTTAGTATCTCCATTTTTGAGCTAACAGTTTGCATTTCCCATTTATTCTTTTTATTTTTTCGATAGATTTCGTTTTCATTCATTTATCACAAATTATCAAAACGTCCAGCTTTCCCTGTATATCTGTGTTTCACTTCTAATTTACAAGATTTTTAATTTACAAACTTAGGACATAATTTCAGATTCCCTACTTAATAAATCCGTTTTTTTATATTTGCATTTTTAATTTATTAATTTTTATAACAAAATTTCAAAAAAGATATGTTTATTATACAAGTAACCTGATTGAATGAAAAATTATTGAAGTTATCGCATTCATCATCATTAACATTCTTTATAATGATGGATTTAAGAAAATTGTGTTATACGAATCAGCAAATAAGTCAAAATGCAGATGATCAACAATACTGACAACAGGCGCATATCACGCATTCAATAAAATGTAATAAAAAAACATACATTTTTTTGCAAATTTTTGTTAAAAATTAATCCGGTATAATTAATCAATTCATTTTTACAGATTCTATAAAATATTCATAGTAAGCCGCCCTTACGACCAAAAAGAAGCGAGCTTATAGCTCCTAATGCCGACTGTTTGGTAGATTCTTTAGTAACGGGCGTTGATACTGGCGGCTTAACTCGTCCCAGATCAGGTCTCGTCGCTTTAGCACCTGATCGTCGATGTCGATCCGGCGATTGACCCGCTGCTCTTGAGTTAAATGCCAAATTGGAACCGGACACGCTAGATTCGAACTCCTTGCTGTTGTCCCGTTTGCCCGGCAATGGCGGTTTGCCCAACGGAGACTCATCACTGGCGGAGGATGTTGAAGATGAGGGAGATATTAGCTTCTCTTGGCTGGTACTGGAGGACATGGAAGTTTTGAGGAAAGTCAATTGTGCCATTGGACTTCCAGTCGAGCGACGTGTATATAAAGCACCTTGTAGAGCTAGCGGCGAGATCGACGAGCTAACTGTGGTAGCCATAATCGTATCAATTCCGATCCTTTCCAATTTCTCGACCAGACGTATTCCCGTGAGAGCCTTCTTATCGGAGCGCGTAATCGTTGACTTTCTTTTCTTAGACTTAGACTGCGCTGCTGGTACCTCGTAACTGAAAGTACGTCTCAATAATTCTGCGCCGCTGCTGAGCAATCCTAATGTCAGAGAACCGCTTTCCGATGATGGCGGCGGCGACGACGATCTCGTAGGTGACAGACTCGCATCCGGGCTATTGCACGGTGTGGCAGTCGGCGAGAAATTTCGCTCGTCAGTAGGTGTAGCTACGCACGAAGGCGTAACGGCTTTGATTCCTCTCTCGTTCAACATTTTGGCTAGTCCAAGGGTGGTAGAGAAGGTTGACGTTGAATTACGGCGACTGTGAGTGCGAGGAGTACTCATTCCGGAATTCATGCCGCTGTTGGGTGCAGTAGCGACACGGCTGCCGACGATGCTCGGTGTCACGCTGCTAGTGGTATGATCGTCCGGATGCATTACAGTGCTGTTAGTAAATGTGTAAACAGAACCGGTATCTTGGAAAGGTTTACCGGGATTTGTGTATTCCTCGTCCTCTTCCAGATCGCTTAAAGTAAATGTAACAAGACCAAGATCCTCGAGAGCGCGACCACCTCTGGTCTTCACACCTGGTCTGTCCTCCAATAATCCACCCAGCGTCGGCGTCGCTAATCGCGACCAATGATGCAATGTTTGAGAACCTTCCATCGGTTTAACTATCTGCAGTTTCTGTGGGATACGCCAAGCGTTACCACTAAAACCGCTTAGATTACCGCTACTGCCGGTCGACATAATACTGTCGGGAGTGCGACAGTCGAATGGCAAGAAGGTTGACGGGGAATGTAACATGCCACCATCATAATCAAAATTGTAACCTGCGCCTGTACTAAGACAAGCACGTCTGGCCAATACCTCAGCCGGCGTCAGACGCCGCAAGGCGGCTTCCAGATCAGCTGCACCAGGAGCACCAGGAACACCCGTTCGTTGTGGTCCCCTGAAACATCGTAGGAGGTTTTATCAAGATTATAAAAAAAAATAAAATCTATTTTTGTAAAGAAATAAAACAAAAAATAAATACATACGGATAATCTTCCGATTCGGCAAGTAAAGAGCCTTCGCTCTCACTGTGACCGGTGGAATCCAAGCTAGGAAATGTAGACGCCTGCGGCCGTATTTGTCCACAACTCATTCGCGGACCGGCAGAGCTACTAGATAACGTCGACGTTGTCATAGAGCCTAACCTAGGGAATTGATTCGGATCCATACCCGCATACGACGCTCGGGATGCAGTACGAACGGTTTCGAATACCTTTTTGTAAGTTGATCTATAGAACAAAAGTAATACGAATTATTTCGTTATTAAATAAATATTGAAATAATTATTTCTGATGATTTCTTGTGATTCGAATATACGAGCATGTATCATTTATATGATTATAATTTTAATTCTAAGGATAATAGAGGATCAAGCAAAACTTTGTATCGTACATCCTGTCGCCCGTACTAATTCCAGAATCAAGACTCAATTCCGAATATAGAGACGATTCCAATTCCGAAGCGATAGAATCCGGTTGAGGTGCTGCGCCCATCGACGGAAACAGCGATCCACCGCGTACAGTCGGCATTCCGCGTTTCCTCTGTTTTCGTAATTGTTCTTGAGTTTCAGCCAGAAGGTTTACAACCTGGTGCACACAAATAATATGAAACGTTTCAGCGTTCTCAGTGGGTTTATACAAGCAAGAAACAATAATTCAGATTATTTTACTTCATTAATTTTAAGTGTACGTATATTATCTTATATTATGATTCATGATTTTTTCACACATGAAACTTTAAAGAATAGTTCATTATACTCATCTTGTTTTATATGTTTAATTTTGGAAAAAAACGTACCTCCGCGTATCGCTCCTTGAATTCGGCTAGTTCATTAGCAAGTGTATTTTGATTATCCCTAGTAATGACTAGAGTCGTTCCCACCTCATCGTGCTCCGCCGTAAGCTGAGCAAGCCTAAGCTCCGTCTCAGCTAATTTTGCAGTGAGACTGACTATTTGCTCGTGCTGCAATCGATTCTCCTCCTTTTGGCGACCAAGTTCCTCCGCTATGCCATCTAACTCCATATTGGCACTTGCTATTATTCAAAAACATATTAAATCATAAAAACATATCATCTCAAAAATATAAATCATAAAATTATTTTCAGTTTTTGAATGTACTCCTCGATATTTATAAAATTTTATATATAATTTTATATTGTCTATTAAAGTTTAATTTTGTGTCAAAAAGATTGATTCACGCTTTATTTAATATCAAACGCAAAAAATTTTCAACAAACAAATAATGGTTTGTATAAAAATAAGGATATATACTTAATTGCGCTGCAATGTCTTCTACAAGGCGTGCCTCCTTTTTCTCGGAATTGTCGGTATCATGCACCAGTTTGGCGAATTCGTTGCGTAACTGCTTATTTTCTTCTTCCAGAGAGCCAACCTTCCTCTGCAGCATCTCCAAATTAATTCCACGGAGACCGGTGGGAGTCCCGGCCTCCGAACTAGATTCATCCACATCATTCGTTAGTATCTGTATCAGCTCGGTCTTCTTCAATACCTCATGATTCAACTGAGTGATTTTCTCGTTAGCTTCTTTGAGTTCAGCTTCTAACGCATTCACTGTACTCTCGAGTTTCTGATTGTGTGCTAGCAATTCCTTGCCGATACGTGCTGTCAGTTCCAAGTCTTTTTCTTTCTGTCAACAAAAAAAAATCTTTCGTCATTATTCTAACTTGAGATTTCTTGTATACAATTATTATTAATTTAGTCGAATTATTACTTAGCTTTTTTCTTCCATAACACAGTGTATTTTTATTATTGTCTTAATAAAAATTTTACTTAAAAAATTTTAATAATTATTTGTAAAATAGCAAGATTTAAAATAGTTTTCTTTTTTTAAATGTAATGTATAAGTATAACAGAATTAAATTTTAAATATAAATTTTAATAGCTTGACACATTCTTTATACTTATCAGCTTGATACATTCTTTATACTTATCGATTTGCTACAGACGTCTCATTAATTTTTTTTTAGATGTGGACATTATAACTCGTAAAACTTTAACGATACGATATTATATACGTCGCGGAGCTTAGTTTCCACTAGTTTAGCTTTTGTATCCCTCGATCAAACTTACCTCCTCTAGAAGCCTTGTAACTGCCTCTATGTCATTATAGGTCTTGGTCATTTGGCTCACCCGGTTGCTGCATAAGACTGTAACAGTCGAATAATATTTTATTATTAAACTTAAATGAGATCTAAAGGATGTCATAGCACTTTAATGAAGAAATATAGCAGAGAGGCTGGATCATTACATTTAATTTCTGTAAAAACAACGTGTAAGCGCAACACTGGATAGACTTCATTTTATACCTGTGTATTTTCTTTTATTTTCGCGAAAAATATCACAGTCTAAAATGTGTTTTATATTTTATTATAAATACACATGTTATTCATCATAAAATTGTATTTTTCTTATATACATTTCTAATATGTCATTTTTATAATATATTTTAAAGGTTTGTTATATAAATATATCGTTTATATTTAATTTTTAATATTAAAATTTCCTATCCCCTCATAATGTCGCCTAAGTAACGTATAAAATAGCATTGTGTGCGATACAATGGTCTTCTACGATTTTTATGGCACGCACATTTGATGAATATGATATCATATTTCTTTCGTTGAATGATTCTTCGTATCTATTTACGTATCGATTATGCGTTATACGATAGTAATCGAAATTTGGATGTAATTTCAACTAGTTAAAATTTCAGGATGGAAAATTTCGACCATCATTCGCGATAAAATGTGCCTATTATGCGATAATATGTAAAAGTTGTTGATTTTTCTTTTTACTTACAGTATCAAGAATTGAACTTAAAATTATATCAATTTGAATTTTGTTTTGCGATATGAAAAAAGATTGTTGTATTAAAAACTGAGATTTTACTCCCGGAAACAAGTCGAGAATTAAAGAGAGAATAACGTTAGATCTTCTTATACCACTACCTTTTGTTGCCGATAATCGATTTTCTGCTATTTATAATTTCATATATTGGTAAGTATCCCGAATCCCGATATCGAAAATGTAGCGATTCTGTTATGAATAACAAAACATTGCTTTGAATAGCAACGCATTGTATTCTTTGAACTCATTTAATTTTTATCAATAAGAATCAGTACAAGCAGATATATTGTCATTCTAGTTTAAGCGAAATACATTTTAATCTTGTTAATGAACCTTATAAAGTAACTTTATTAGTTACTTAACTTAATTAGTAAACTTAACTTTATTAGTCTAAAAATTTTTAATTAAGAACTATTTTTTCGTCAAAAATACGTTTACATGCGCTTAAATCCGTTTTTGCTTATTTCCTCTAAATATTAAGTTATTATTTCGCCAGTTTTAATATTTTTATATTTTAATATTATGTTTTTTAATAACAATTTAATATAATTTTATTATCATTTTATTATCATTTATTATAATTATAAAAATTATAATAAAATTATAATTTATTATAATTATATTAATATAATTTTATAAATCATAATTCTTTTCTTTAAAAAATATATTATTTAGTAAAATGTATTTTATCATTGTACTTCTTGTTTAAAAAAATGTTTGAAATATATAGAGATGTCATAATATTCTTTTATTTATTAAAATATATTAATATTTTTGCGCTTTAATATAACATTTAATAAATTACCTGATAATATTGAATATTTAATAAATTACCTGATATCATCAAGTTAAAGGATTCCGATATATTTCATACACTCGTGATCTCGCAATATGATTGCGCCAAAAGTACGTGGAAACATGATATTTTCAAAATATGGAAATTTTAAGTTTGAAAGATTTCACTAAATTCAATTTTCATGGTAGTTATCTCCTATTCTCATCTTATATAAATAAATGTTTATCTCCTATTCTTATCTTATATATAAATAAATTATCTCCTATTCTTATCTTAAATTCCCGACATAAAAGAATTCGAACTGTAAGATGTAAATGAAATAAACTGATTTTAAGGTACGCGATGTTTTTGCCGTGTTTCGCTAATAATCTTTTTCAAAATCACAACACAAAGATTGTAATATTAACGCTATTCTTCTCAATCTTTCACAAAAAAGCAACAGGCAGCGGATGCTCATCGCGCATTCCCAGCAACTGATCGTTGATTCCGCGCGCGAGATGGACTTTGCGAAGAAAATCGCGAGAAAATAGCAGAAGACGACATCGCGTGTCTTATGTCGCGAGATGCGATATATAATGAAAGCAGCGAGAAAACGCGGCACGCGAACGAAAAGAAGAGGAAAGCGTGGAGGAAATGATGCTCTCATTCTTATAAGATAGTCGAATAGAATCCTTTGTTTCCCTCCTATCGATCGACTTTGCCGGTCGTTTAGAAGCGCAGACGCAATTTTCGTTTCGCTTTCGAAGCTCTCCGTCGTGCAACGAGAATTTTATTTTCAAAAGATCTGAAAAGAATTGACTTTGCAATAAAGTTTTGAAATGTAACCACCAGGTTAAACGTCAAAAGAAATATATTGCAATTATATTTAATCATATGTGTATTCAGTTCTATTATGTATTAATTTCTTAAAGTGATAATTTAGCACTATTATTAGTTTTTAAAATCGATATATCATAAATTATACCAATTAATAATTTGTCATGTAATCAATCATGTAACAAGAAAAGCGGGACGCACCTCGTAAAAAATGTTTATAATATTAATATTTTTATTTTCTAAAATGTTATATAAATTTTTCTCAGTTGTGATAGGTTGTTATAAAATATTAAATGCAATAGTAAGGAAGAGAGAGAGAGGAGAATGACGTAAAAATAAATCTAAGATAGCTGTAATATCTCGACGAGAGGTACAAACTTTACGCCTGCCTTCATTATATAATTGATTTTCATGATTATTTCTTTACTGAAAGGGGTGACTGGAGTTACTGTATAATCAAAGAGGCGAGACTAAACGAAAATAATGGGCCACTTTCAGTTCTAACGAGAGACGCGCGCTTCGATGCCCATCACTGCATTTCGAATGAATTCTTCGTCATCGTCTTCATAACGGAGATGTCTTCACGAACGAATTACGTTAACAGACACCTTCATAGCCAATTGATCGCGATGATTGATGAGTGAGTTTTCAGAAAGTGCCGCAAATTCCTCGACAAGACAATTTCCCTACCGAGCAAAGAATATAGGAATTAAAATATCTCGGGCCGATCTGAGAAACAATAGTCGACTTGCAATTCTATCTTTTCTTCTCGATTTGTTGAATTTTAAAAATTTATAAGGACTTTTAATGTTAGTTTCTAAATCTTGCCTGTGATAAAAAGCTTCATTAAAGAAAAATTTATCAAGAAAAATATTTTCTCAAATAAAATTCTATGCTTTAAATCTGGTTCCACCATCTGTATATAATTTAAAAATGCATTATACTTTCTTTCCTTAAATATTTATGTTTTTCCTTAATTAAATGATTGGATCATGTTCTCTTTGTACATATTTTTTTTGATAAAAAAGCATTTCATTTATTATGAAAAAATGATCGAGAAAACTTATGAAATCAAATATTCTTCTTAACAAAGTGTAGCGTTTGCAACTCAATACATTTTTGATATTTTTAATATTTACTTTACTGCAAATGCGATTAGAAATCATAGACCATGTGGTTAAAATACCGCTAACTCAAAGGCCACGTGATTTTATGCATTCCTGTTATCCTTGATGACGGATACAGTTGAACGCAACTAGTAATTTCACTAAATCTAATACAGAAAATATCTAATCTAATAATAAATATGTTCTCTCTATTTCATTATAATTTTATTACTTTTTTTGGATGCTAATGAGTCTCTTAGAAATTAAACTGATCAACATTTTATTTTTTATAAATTTCTTTTGTAAATTTTTTGCGGTTTGGCTTTTGAGAAACTCATGTTATAGATTAAATTATATTGATCTATAATATCTCTCGAAGAGGTAATTGTTTGTCACTTTTTTTAGATAATTTATTATGTTCCAGTAACAAGATACAGATAGAGAATTAATCAGCTTTTTAATGAAAAGTAATATTACTAAGAATAAGATTTGATTATAAAATTTGTTTTAGTCGTGAGTTTCTCTTTACTCCTCTTACATAACAATAAATATTTTATCGTTACTTAATAAAAATATCGAACATGAGATTATAACATCACATTATATTGATATTGATACTATATGATTATTCTATACAGGACTTTAAAACCAGTCTCAAGTGCTTCTTTTTCATTCACTACGGCAGACTTGTCGATCTAGTACGATCGGAATGCAGATAAACTTTTCTTCCCTCCCTCCCGATGCTGAAGAAACACGAGGATGCTCAAGTAGCGTCCTATATGCGTTAATTCGTTTTCGGATATAAAGACAAAATTCATCATTTCCCGAAGAGTTTATTATTAAACATTTGCAAAATTTCGGGGAAAAACACAATATATTAAGCTAATAGAAAACTATAAATTTTTCTGACTTGACAATATACACGCCAACAGATCTTTTAGAATATATATGTTAGTAAAAATGTCTTCGTAATAATATCCTAATTTTAAAAGTAAATTTTAATATAAGAATAATATTTTAATTTTAAAGTAAATTTTAATATAAGAATAATAATATTCTAATTTTAAAGTAAATTTTTCTACAAAAGCATATTTTCAAGCAAACTTAGTGGTACGTGCACATAGCTAATCATAAAATAACTCCATACGATGTGATAATAAAAAGCAGCTTGCACTTGTAATAAAAACTAACTGCGTTACAATATTCGCAAGAAAGATTGCACGTCTAGATGGATTAAATCTTATCTAATTTTATCGAGACAATTTTATCGTTCCTTTATGATCAATGTCTAATGTACCTTATCTAAGGTATATGCATTGCTCTTTATTTATTGTGTATAATTATATATAATAAATAAAGATACGATTATATTATATTATATATAATTTATAGCCTAGTGTATATAAGCTATATAATTTCGAAATCTCGGTGTCGGATATTTTCAAAAGCGAGTGATCAGGCGAAAATAAAATTCAAAGCAGCACGGAAAACGGTGCGATGAAGTTTAGATTATAAAAATAAGTGGAACGTCGAGAGACAGATGACGACGATGTCACTTAGAAACGTCCACACTGCGTCGGAT